ACCTAGGCTTTGAGGGCATCACGGGGTGATGACCACCTAGGCTTTTATTAGTATAGATGATCATTTAAAGTAAGTAATACTATGTAGCCTATCATATCAACATAATGGAATACATTGTAACTTTTTAGGAATGTTGCCTGCTATTCCATGGGAATGTATTCATGAAATAATATTAGATGAGTAAAGTAGGATGCACTCTTTGTGAACATTCATTATAACTGTACATATGTGTATATGTTGAAAAACATTGCAATTTGGGGTATAGTAAGAATAAGTTGTTATCTTTGTAAAATCACCTAAATTCATATTCAGCAATACAAAATTATAAATTTAAGTGTGACAAAACTGCCATGAACAAAGTCGTAAAATAAACTTATCAAAGGCTGGTAATGCATAATGACAGATGTATCTTAATATACAAATAATTCTGAAGTCAAAAGGAACATGAATAATTCAATGACATTACCAAAGGATATGAGTAATATATATGGCAGAAGAAGAAACAAAAGTGGCAATAAATATATAAAAAGACTAGTTGATCAGCCTTTCTAATGATCAGATAAAGAAATGGCCCTAGCTGGTTTGGCTCAGTGGATAGGGTGTTGGCCTGTGGACTGAAGGGTCCCAGGTTCGATTCCGGTCAAGGGGCGTGCGTGAGGGAGGCAACCAATGGATGAGACACATTCACATCGATGTTTCCCTCTGTCTCTCCCCCTCCCCTCCACTCTCTCTGAGAATCAATGGAAAAATATCCTTGGGTAAGGATTAATAACAACAAAAAAAGAAAAATGTCTTATTTTTCACTTATCAGCAAGGATTGATACCCATTGCTACTAAAGGTGTAGGGAAAATAAAGCATTCTCGTGTGCTTCTTATGAATTCGTATTTGGAGTCAACTGAGTCTGCAAATACATGTACCCTTTGGAGACAATTTGGCAATTAAATCTAAAAATGTACATAACCTTTTGACCTAGCATTCACTTCTAGGATTTTATCCTAGTTAGAAACATTACCACAAGAGTGCCAAGAAATATAGACAAGAATATTTATTGAAGCATTATTTGTAATAGTAAGAATTTGGAGATAACCTCAAACTTATGTTACTTATGATTTACCCAGTCAGTAATTTAAGGTAATGGCTAATAATAGGATCTATTGACTAAACTGTCTGAATTAGTATCTCTCTCTCTCTCTCTCTCTCTCTCTCTCTCTCTCTCTCTCTCAAGCCCACACCTTTCCCCACATCCTTCTTTCCCCAGAGTGCACACTCTCTCTCACTCGGCCATACCCAAGCCTTTCCCTCTCACCCCAGGTGCATTCTCTATGCTTCTCCCCACCCCCAAGCTCCTAGCGCCCTTCTTTTGCCTCTGTAACTTATTTCCTGAGTCCAAACAGCCCAGTTGGCTCACTTCTTCCACAACTCACTTCTTCTACCTTTATCTCTCTCTCTGTCTCTCTCTCTCTGTCTCTCTCTCTCTCTCTCTCTGTCTCTCTCTCTCTCTCTCTCTCTCACACACACACACACACACACACACACACACACACACACACACACACAATCTCTGCTCTAGAACTTCTTAGCTCTGTGGTCTTTGGCAGATTATCCGGTCTCTCTTAGCTTCAGTTTCTTTACTTGTTAAACGAAGTTTACAATATTAATAAATTGCATTTTAGGATTAAATGATAACTAACTTCAGTGCTTAGCATAGTGCCTAGCACATACATGGGTCAATAATCATAATTATTACTGTGCTGGTATTATAATATTTAAGTTTGAGGTATATTTATATGTACTGGCATCTGATATATTAAGTAACAGAAACATTGCATGACAAGGCTTTGAAAAAATCTAAAGGTACATCATATTGCTCACTATGTTCATGTTGTGGGGCAGACATTAGGAGAACACTTACTTTCTATGTTATAAACAGGTTTATAGCATAAAAGCTTTTGGAAACTTGTTTATAGTATTTCTTTTATTTACAGATATAAACCTTTAAAAGACAGGCAGAAAACAAGGTTAAAAAAGAAAACAGGCAGGCACTACACTGTATTAAAAATACTTCCACAATGTTTGCTGCCTGAGAAATACTAGCCCTGCTTGAGGGTCCACATGCCTTGGGTGACTGGACCTAAACTTGCATCAGGTTCCGGAATAAGGGGAAAGGAGAAAGAATTAAAATGACGCCTCTGACATAATGGTGTAGGAGCTCGCCTCCCACATACCACTTCCTGTGGGGCCCCGCCCTCCCTGAAACGTACAACATTTATATAGTGAGTAATCCTTCCCCTCTGCCACAGAAATGAAATCATTTATGATGGCTACAAAACTTTTTTTTAATATATATATTTTATTGATTTTAGAGAGAAAAGGAGTAGGGGAGTGAGAAACATCAATGATGAGAGAGGATCATTGATTGGCTGCCTCCTGCATCCCATACTGGGGATCGAGCCTGCAACCCAGGCATGTGCCCTGACTGGGAATTAAACCATGCCTCCTGGTTCACAGGTCAGTGCTCAACCACTGAGCCATGCTAACCAGCATATGTTTTTATTTATTTTGTGTAAATACCTAAGAGTAGAATATGATTCACATACCTGAGAGTAGAATATAATCCAAGAGTAGAGTTGTGTATTTGACTTATAAAAAAATCTTATAATCATTCTTAAATCCTTTCTTTTTTAAATATATTTTTTTATTGATTTCATAGATGAAGGGAGAGGGATAGAGAGATAGAAACATAAATGATGAGAGAGAAACATTGATTGGTTGCCTCCTGCACATCCTCTACTGGGAATCGAACCTGGAACCCAGGCATGTGCCCTGACCAGGAATCGAACCTGTGAACTTTTGGTTCATAGGTCGATGTTCAACCTCTGAACCACACCGTTAGGGCAAATATACAGTGCAGCAGTAGTATTAATCTATATTTACATTGTGGTGCAACAGATCTCTAGAACTTTTTCAGCTTGCAAAACTGACACTTTACCCACAGCCCCAACAACTACAGTTTTTTTGAATTGGACTACTTTATTTTTATTTTTTATTTTTTATTTTTTTAATATATTTTATTGATTTTTCACAGAGAGGAAGGGAGAGAGATAGAGAGAGTTAGAAACATCGATGAGAGAGAAACATCGATCAGCTGCCTCTTGCACATCCCCCACCGGGGGATGTGCCTGCAACCCAGATACATGCCCTTGACCGGAATCGAACCCGGGACCTCTCAGTCCGCAGGCTGACGCTCTATCCACTGAGCCAAACCGGTTTCGGCTATTTTTATTTTTTATTAAAAATTTTAATGTTGGCATTATTATAGGTGTCTTTCCTCCCCCTCCCCCTTTGCCCATCTCCACCCACAGAGTTGGACTACTTTAGATACTTTATATTAGTAGAATCATCAATGTCTTTTTGTAACTTGCAGATTGCACTTACTATTATGTTTTAGCATGTGATAAGATTTCCTTTTCAAGGCTGAATAATATTCCACTTTTTGTATACACCACATTTTCTTTATCCATATGTTTTTTTTTTGTTTTTCGTTTTTTTAAAATACATTTTTATTGATTTCAGAGAGGAAGGGAGAGGGAGAGAGAGATAGAAGCATCAATGATGAGAGAGAATCATTGATTGGCTGCCTTCTGCATGCCCCCTAGTGGGGATCGAGCCTGCAGCCGGGCATGTGCCCTTGACTGGAATTGAATCCGGGACCCTCGGTCCCCAGGCCAGCACTCTATCCACTGAGCCAAACGCAAGGGCTCTTTATCCATGTGTTCATGGACATTTGAGTTGCTTCCATCTCTTAGCTCTTGTGAATAATGCTGCAGTGATCACAGGTTTGCAGATACCTCTTTGAGATACTGATAGCAGTTCTTTTGGATGTATACCCAGAAGTGGGATTGCAGGATCATATAATTCTTTTTTTAGTTTTTTTAGGAAACTCCATACTGTTTTATAGCAGCTGCACTATTTTTGCATTCGTAACCACAGTGCACAAGGGTTCCAATTTTTCTGCATCCTCACTAACGCTTGTTATTTTCTGTTTGTTTTTTATAGTAGCATTCCTAATGGGTATAAGATGGTATCTCATTATAATTTGATTTGCATTTCTCTAATGATTAGTAATATTGAGCATCTTTTCAGATGCTTGTTAGCCATCCTATAAATAAAAGGCTAATATGCAAATTGTCCCCACGGTGGGAGTTCGACTAACTGGGAGTTTGACATGCGCTAACCACCAGGGGGCGGCGCGGAACATGGCGGGCGTCGGTGATGCGGCGCTGGCAGTGGGCGGCAGTAGAGGCGCTGCCGGCCCTGATGGGCCCCGACCAGAGCGGGACAGCGGCGGGATGGTGGAGCAGGTGAGCGGGTAGCATAGGCCAAGGTGGGGATGATCGGCGAGCAGGCAGCGCCAGGCCACGGCCGGTGCAGGCGGGGGCCCTCATTGCTGGCCAGGCCTAGGGACCCTATCCGTGCAAGAATTTTGTGCACCAGGCCTCTAGTTTGTATATATTCTTTGGAGAAATGTCTGTTCAAGAGTTTTGCTTATTTTAAAATTGGGTTGGCTTTTTGTTGTTGAGTTGTAGGAGTTCTTTATATATTTCAGATATTAACCCCTTATTAGATACAGTGGGGCCTTGACTTACGAGTTTAATTGGAGCTCGTAACTCAAATTACTCATATGTCAAATCAAAAAGTGAACGAGTGAGACACGTGTTGCTGGGCTGATGTTGTGGCGTTCACTGTGACGTTCGCTGCGCCAACTAGTGGTGGGGTATCTGAAGCTGGCTCGTAACCCGAATTTTAGCTCGCAACTCAAAGCAAAAAATCGGTCGAGAGACGGCTCGTATCTCGAAAAACTCGTTAGTCGGGACACTCTTAAGTCAAGGCCCCACTGTATATGATTTATACATATTTTTCTCCCATTCCATGGTTGACTTCACTCTGTTGATTGTTTGTTTCTTTTTTCTTTTTTTTCCCAACACAATTGTTTCATTAGCAGTTGTCTGGGGTTAGAGATAAAGGCATGAAGATCTTTGTGGTGACGGGACCATCCAGCGTCCAGAATACAGAGTGGACACAGGGAGGCACATCGGTGAGACGTGCCTGAGCACGTGTCCTGGGTGGTAGTGTCCTGGAACCACTGAAGCCACCAATTTATGGGAAACTCGGTGAAGGGTACCTGGGACCTCTATGCTCTTTGAAACTTTATATGAAAATGGAATTATCTGATAATATGTGTGTTTTTAAGTGAGCTGTTTCCATAGTTTACCCAGTGTTGATTGTTTCTTTGATGCACAGAGGTTTTAAAGTTTGATGTGGTCCATATGTCTATTTTTGCTTTTGTTCTTTAATTTTTCTTAGCAGTATTTTGTAGTTTTCAGTGTACAGGGATATTTGGGATTCCCCAAGATTATGCTCAGGTTCAGTGTTTAGCTTCACAGAACTCAGAAAAGCTGTTATATTCATATTCACTCTTCCAGTTTATTACAGTGAAAGGATACAGATTAAAACTAGCAACAGAAGAAGGAATATAGAGCAGGGTCCAGGCACAAGCTTCTAGTTGTCCTCTCCCAGTGGAGTCATGGGAACAGTGTTTAATTCTCCCAGGAACAGTGTGACCACCTGCATGGAGTATTGCCAACCAGGGAAGTGCACTTAGCCTTAATGTCCAGGAGTTTTATTGGGTATCACATAGACATGGCTGACCATAGTTCTCTAGCTCTTCCCAAAGTCAAGCAGATACCACTTGGGCCAAGACTCCCACCATAGATCACATTGTTAGCAATGTGGCCAAGGCCTAATGTAAACAGAGGCAATATATCGAAAGGGCTTAGAGGTTATCTTCCAGGAACAAGGCCAGATCTTTCTTTGTCATGTGCAGGGTTTGGACACTCCTGACCTGCTGAGTCAATCCTTTATTGTACAGTAAGCTTTTCACATCTTCTCATTCTTCTCATTCTTCAGGTCTCAGATCAAATGTCACTTCCTCAGAAAAGTATTCCATGTAATTTTTTAAAATCCTCATCTGAGGATATGTGGTTGTTTTGATTTGAGAGAGAGAGAAATATCGATGTGAGAGAGAAATATTGATTGGTTGCCTCCCATACGTGCCCCCACCGGGGATCAAACCTGCAACCTAGGTTATGTGCCCTGACTGGGAATCAGACCAGCAACCTTCTGGTGCTTGGGACAATGCTCCAACCAACTGAGCCACCCAGCCAGGGCCCAAGTATTCTTTCTCATATCACCCTGCTATAGTACCATCCCACTTTGTAATTATCTTGCTTATTATCTATCTCTATCCTGCAATCAGTTCATGAGAGCAGAAACCTCTTCTGTCTTGTTGAATACTATATTCTTGGCACCTAGTACCTGGCATTCACTGATTTTTAATTAAGGACTTGTCGAAATAGGCACTCTTTCTATTTTGCGGAGTCTTTAAACTGATACAACTCATAGGGAGGGTGATCTGGCAATAATCAGTATCTCTACTGCATGAGTACTTTGACCCAGCAATTTTACTTCAGGGAATTTATCCTACAAATATGCCCCCACACGTGAAATAAGTTAATAGGGGGCATTCTGATTGCAGCAGTGTTTGTAATGGCAAAAATGTTCAAAGCAAATTAAATGTCAGTCATTAAGGGATTGGCCTAATAAATTAATTTATATACTGGCTATATAGATGATTAAAAATTGTTTTTAAGAATAAGGATGTTCTGCCCTAGCCAGTTTTGCTCAGTGGATAGAGCAACCTGAAAGGTCCCAGGTTCTAGTCCGATCAAGGGCACATGCCTGGGTTGCAGGCTCATTTCCCGGTGGGGGGGGGTTGGGGGGGGCCTGCAGGAGGCAGCTGTTTGATGTTTCTCTCTCTCTCTCCCTCTCCCTTTCTCTCTAAAATCGATAAAAGCATTAAAAAAAAAAGAATAAATGGTGTATTTGCATATAACCTAAAAAAAAGAGAATAAGGATGTTCTTTGTGTACTGATGTAAAAAAATCTCTAGGAGATTTTTAAGCAAAGTGCAGGGCAGTGCATTTATTCAGCTACTACCATTTGTGTGAGAAGGGGGAAGAAGCTATGTATTATATTTGCTTGTATGTACATGAAGAAACTCTGATAGAATTTGCAGAGAACAATGACAGTGGTAACCTGGGAGATTAGGAAACTAAGTAGATAGTTAAGTAGGAAACTTTTTATTGTACACCTTTTTATACTCAGATTTCAGAACCACATGAACTGTTTAAATAAATAAATTGTACTTTAAAAAATGAAATTAAAACATATAGTCAATTTTTAAAAATAGTATCTAAAGTACTATAAAGAGGGAGTGTGTGTGTGTGTGTGTGTGTTAAACAATGTTCTAGTTTCCCATATCAGCTTCTGGGGGTGGGGCAGGGTGGGGTTGGCTAATGTTCTTTACAAACCAGAACATCCAGTTGAGTAATGTGAATGAGCATGCTATGATTGCCTCTTTCATGCTAGACTTACTCAGTTAAACTGTTCATATAGCCTAATGGGACAGCTGTAGTGCCATAGGAAGAACACAAATTTTGAAACAAGAAACTTGAATTTGACTCTGTCTCTGCTGATTTCTGGCTGTGAGATTTTGGACAAGTTGTTTTAGTGTTCACCTACTAACTCCTCTCAACATCTGAAAAGAATGATTGAGATATGTGAGAGTGCTTTGTACATTATCAAATACCATATAATGAGTTATTATTAATTGTATTTTAGTTTATTTTGTGCATAATTGACCTGTCAAGCTGGTCATAATTCTGTTGCCAAACATTAGTCACAAAGATAACATCCTTAGCATATTTTTCTTTCCACAGCTGTTGTATTACATTAATGACCAGTAAGTTCATACTGTTCCTACTTTCCATCTACACTCTCTCCCTGAGAGTTCATTCATTTTCATAACTATAGAAACGAATGACCTCCCCCAACTTTCTTCTGAGCTTGAAATTCTTATTAACTGCCTTTGGACTTCCTGCCTGAGTGTGAATACTTGACATTTACCTATCTCCCTCCTCCAGGCTGCTCATCTGGGTTCGCAGTCTCAGTCAGTGTCATCATCACCTTCCTACTCTCTTATGCTAGAAACCTCCAGGGTCATCCTTGACTCCTTCCTGACCATTCACAAAGCCCTTCAATTCTGCTTCTGAAGTGTGCCTTACACATCCCTGTTTCCATCCCCACTCAGTCAAGTTTCTTAGAAATAAGTCATAATCTGATGTGTCACTTCCTCAACCTTGAGACAATTTTTATGACTTTCTGTTGCCTACAGGACGAAGTCTAAAGTCCTTGGCATGGCAAACAAGGTTCTTTACAACCTTTCCTAAGCTTTCCTTCCACCAGCCCTGACAGACCCTGTTCTCCAGCCACCTCTGGAGTACTCACTGGTTGTCTGTCCAGCACTTTCACATGTCTGCGCCACAGTTCATGTGGTCTCTGCCTGGAGCCCACTTACCTTACATTCACTCTTGAAGTTTCTGTTCAAAAATCGTATCTTTTATGTTGCCTTTCTTGACCACACAGAATTATAGTCCTGTAGCACTTTATTTTTATCTCTAACATAATGTTTATTCTATATTGAAACTAACTTAGGGACTTCTTAAGGATAGCAAGCATCTAGATCTTATTAACTTCTGTATTGCCACAGAAGAGTACCTGGAATATAGATTTTCATAATTACCTGTGGGATAAATATATTGAAAGTAAAGTAAAAGAGAACTCAGCTCACAGTCTACAGAGCTCTTGTGTTGTCTTGTGAACAGCAAATTGAGGTGGTTAAGAACTTGATTTCTGAAGTCAGGCATATGTGGGTTCGAACCCACCCTGTAACACTAGCTGTGGCTGTTTCCTTACCTATAAAGTGGCGATGATAGGGTATCTATGAGAATTAAATGTCAAGTACATATCAATGCTTGCTACATTGTAATAATTTTAAGCTATTATTAAGTGTGTAATGTATTTTTAATGAATAATGGTAATACTCTATTAGGTATATCTGTAGTCAGATATGAGGTATGAGAATAGCATGTTTTCCTAAGAGAACCCTTTCTCAACCAAGCTGATTACATCTTCCCAGCAACAGTGACTATCAACCTGTTCTGTTATCAATGAGGAGGGAGAAGAGTATCTGTTATCTTTCCTGTTATCTATTACTAGAGGCCCAGAGCGAGAATTTGTGCATGGGTGGGGTCCAGCTGGCCCTCCCTGATTGGGGCCCATCGGGCCAGGCCTGCGGGTGGGGGGGGGGGTCACGGGCGGTTGGCCGGCTGGCCCCACCCCCAATTGGGGTGTTGGGGGCTGGGCTGGCCAGGAGGGGTGCCGATCGGGGCCTGGATCAGGCTGGTTGGCTGCCGCAGTGTGCGTCATAGCCACCGGTCATTCCAGTCGTTCTGGTCATTCCGCCGTTCTGGTCACTGGGCTTTTATATATATAGATTTTTATTTATTGTTATTGTTAGTGCCCTTGGGATTCATTCTACCCTTTATTAAAAACTGAGTTTAGACATGAACAGGGATACCAAAAAGGAAATCAAACTTGAAGAATAAGAACGGAGAAACCCAGGATAAGGATAAAAGTATTTGGATTAAGAGTCCAAGGAAAGTAGAATCTAAGAAAGGTTCTCTTTCATTCCATAATTCATCAAGTATTATTGTCCCCGACTCTATTCAGGGCACAGTGGGAACAGGGCAAGGATATTATAATTGTTTAAGGCCTAATTTCTCACTGTAAAGATTTTTTTTAATTGCATACTTGAGATAATTGTAAATTTACATGCAATTGTAAGAAATAATTACAGAGAGATCCCTTGTACATCAGTACAGGATTTTAAGTCTTATTGGTAATGAGGTGAGATAGTTCTTTGTATAACTGGTGTAAAATCACGGGTAGAAAGCACTTCATGAATTGGAAAAGCTGGGATTTCTCTGCTTGAAGCTGCAGCAAATAAAGTTCTTATGTAGGTGTCAGTTTTAAGCCAAACCTCAAAGGATGAGTGTAATTATATTAGGTTAGGAATGGAACGAGACAGTGGGAAAGCCAAGATCCAGGTGAAAGGGAGGACCTGGGTTCCTTTAGGGAATTTGGTAAATAATCTAGATTTCTTAACTGCACACGTCACTTCTTATAAATTGGTTCTCTTACCTCAAGTTTTTAGAACTCAAGTAATTGTGAGCCTATTGTTAATCTCAGGTCTGACTGTTACATTTTCTGTTTTTTGTTTTTTTTTTAAAATATATTTTATTGATTTTTCACAGAGAGGAAGGGAGAGGGATAGAAAGTTAGAAACATCGATGAGAGAGAAACATCGATCAGCTGCCTCTTGCATACCCCCGACTGGGGATGTGCCCGCAACCAAGGTACATGCCCTTGACTGGAATCGAACCGGGGAATCTTCAGCCCACAGGGCGACACTCTATCCACTGAGCCAAACCGGTCAGGGCACATTTTCTGTTTTTGATATAGAATAACCTGATTCTGCGGAGAGTCTGACTTACTGAAAAAGTTTTTCTTTTGCTTTTAGAATGACAGTAGAGAACGGCATGAGCACAGCAACGAAAGGCGGAGGCGGGGCAACCCTGAGCCATTATCTAATGGAGGACCTCAGGGTAACACACTGCAGGTGGTGGAACAAGATGAAGAAGAAGATGAGGAGCTGACACTGAAATATGGCGCCAAACATGTGATCATGCTCTTTGTCCCCGTGACTCTCTGTATGGTGGTGGTGGTGGCTACCATCAAATCCGTCAGCTTTTATACCCGGAAGGATGGGCAGTTGTATGTATGAATGTTTTGTTTTATTATTCTCAAGGTCATCATAGCTTTTCTTCATTGCATGTCATTATCTTGAAGGCCTCTGCACTGAAGGGGCATGAAGGCCAGAGAGTTCTTTCAGTCAAAAGCAATTGAGAGTGAGGCGTTATTTATTACTTGATGCTTTAAGTCAGTGGTTCTCAACCTTCCTAATGCCTCGACCCTTTAATACAGTTCCTCATGTTGTGGTGACCCCCAATTTCATTGTTACAAATTGAACATAATTAAAGCATAGTGATTAATCACAAAACAATATGTAATTATATATGTGTTTTCCGAAGGTCTTAGGCGACCCCTGTGAAAGGGTCGTTCGACCCCCAAAGGGGTCACGACCCACAGGTTGAGAACCGCTGCTTTAAGTAGAGAAAATGAAAGCTACAGAATTATATTTCCTGTATGCTGTCACTAAGGGCTGAATTTATTTGTAATGAGCCAGTAAAGCATTAAATAGTAATCTTTCCCATCTCAGGGCCATTGAGCCCATTATTCTTTGCGTGGAATGTTCTTGCTTTTTCTAATTTAGGTGGATTATGTCCTAGCATCCTTCTGATCTTGGCTTAAATGTTAATTCCAAATATAAAGGCTCTGATCCTACTAATAAAATTAGGTACTTTCTTATAGAAACCTGTTCTTTTTCACTTGTAACAATATGCAAATATAAATTTATTTACATGATTTACTCAACACCTGGTTTCCTTCTGTACTGTAAGTGTTATCAGAGCACTTTGTTTCCAGGATGAGGTATGTAATAAAAGTTGTTAAATGAAAGGATGAAGAATTCATACAAACTGGCACTCTCTACTCTTGGGGAACTGTTGTGTAGATTCTCTGGTGCTGTTGGTGTCAGCCCTTGATTCTTATGTCACCTAGTTCTGTCTCTAGGACCCTAGTGAGGCTCAAACAAGTTTTAAATGGATTTTTAAAAAAACATATTTTATTGATTTTTACAGAGAGAAAAGGAGAGAGATAGTTAGTAACATCGATGAGAGAGAAACATCGATCAGCTGCCTCCTACACATCTCCTCCTGGGGATGTGCCCACAACCCAGGTACATGCCCTTGACCGGAATCGAACCTGGGACCTTTCAGTCCGCAGACCGACGCTCTATCCACTGAGCCAAACCGGTTTCGGCTTAAATGGATTTTAGAACTTGAAAGTGGCAAGTACCTGAAAAACTACATGGGGTTCTGAAAGCCAAGCTATTAATTTTTGAAAGAAAGACTAAGACAATGAGTAACGGCAGATAATAGAGATAATAGCTAAAAGAGATTAATATTCTCTGTATAAATTAGATTTAACTTGGTTACATATTATAGAACAGGGATTAGTAAGTCATAGTCCACAGAGCAGCTCTGCTTGTCACCTATTTTTGTAAATAAAGTTTTACTGGAATACAACCATGTCCATTCTTTTATATATTGTCTCTGCCTGCTTTTATATGATAATGGCAGAGTTGAGTGGTTGCAGCAGAGGCCATATCACCCACAAAACTTAAAATATATACTCTCTAGTCCTTTGCAGAAAGTTTGCTGACCCCGTTATAGAAAATCAAACAGCTGGCTTAAATGATATACATGCTTCATCTCTCTCTGATGGAGTAGTGCAGCGCTGGTCAGTCAGTTTGGAATAGTGGCTTCACATTCATCAAGGATTCAGGCTCCTTTCTTTCTTCTTTATTGCTATACTCTAGGTTATCTCAGGGTCTATACTCTAGGTTATTATGGGTGCTGGAGCCCTAGCCTTCATTCAGACAGCAGGAAGGAGTAGGGAAGAAAAGGACATAAAACATCTCTCTCAGCAGAATTAACTCTTTCTTAGAAGTTCCACACAATATATCTGCTTATAACTCATTGGCCATTACTTAGTCTCATGGCCACACCTGACTATAAGGGAGTCAGAACTAAAATCTTTTAGCTGGGAACATTGGCACCAAGAATAAACGTGTTTTTGTGTGAATGAGAAACAAGGGGAAATGGATATGTGACATTATCTCAAGACAACCCCAGTTGCAGTCACCCTGAAGATGAAAGATAATAATTATAAACCATATGACTTCCTCTGACTATCCCTTGTATCCTCAGTAGTTTATATGGCAGAATCTGGTTATTTAGCAAATCCTAATAAGCTGTGGAGAAAGAATATTTGATGAGGTAATTGTTTCAGGATAAGCATCCACTAGATGGAGTCAGGGTCTGGTTCACAACTCTCCATATCTTAGACATCTTCTTTTATTTTGAAGCCCTATTTTTGACTAGCTATTTTTCTTAGGTTAAAACTTCTTGGCTAGGTTGATGAGATGGGCAGAAGTGATATATCATTTGAATCAAGGAAACAAAACTCAAGTTGGAGAGAGTATATGGCTTGGGATATCTATCCACTAACACTTATCTGGGGCTTTGTGTTTTGTTTTGTTCTAGAATCTATACTCCGTTCACAGAAGACACCGAGACTGTGGGCCAGAGAGCCCTGCACTCGATTCTGAATGCTGCTATCATGATCAGCGTCATTGTTGTCATGACTATTCTCCTGGTGGCTCTATATAAATACAGGTGCTATAAGGTGAGCATGAGAGACAGAGCTTTGCTTTCCACCATATTCTTATGATTGGGTTTTCTATCTATACTTGGTCTAGTAAAGAAAAAGGTCTTAACCCTGGATGGTGTGGCTCAGTGATTGGAGTGACAGCTTGCAAAGGGTCGCAGGTTCGATTCCTGGTCATGGGCACATACCTGGGTTGTAGGTTCATTGCCAGCCCCAGTCAGGAGCATGTGCGGGAGGTAATCAATCGATGTGTCTCTTTCACATTGATGTTTCTCTCTCTATCCCCCCCATTCACTCTCTCTAAAAATCAGTGGAAAAAAATATCCTCCGGTGAGGATTAACAACAACAAAAAATACATATTAAAATAACAAATTAAGCCCTAACTGGTTTGGCTCAATGGATAGAGCGTCGGCCTGCGGACTCAAGGGTCCCAGGTTCAATTCCAGTCAAGGGCATGTACCTTGGTTGCGGGCACATACCCAGTAGGGAGTGTGCAGGAGGCAGCTGATCAATGTTTCTCTCTCGTCGATGTTTCTAACTCTCTATCCCTCTCCCTTCCTCTCTGTAAAAAAACCAATAAAATATATTAAAAAAAACACACACAAATGAACTTATTTTACCTATTGACTTGAAAAGATTAATCTAGCCTTTTTTTTGTGAAGTCACTAAACCAATATGTGTCAATAATGATTAGAAAAAGTTTCTAGACTTTGATTCAGTAATTTTGCTTTCATGATTTATTCTGAAGAAAGAACTACAAATGCTGAAAATATTTCCATGCTGGGATATTCATCCTAGCACAAATTATAATAATAAAAAAAAAAGAGAGAGGAATCGAAGATGGCGGCATAGGTAAACACCGGAGACTGCCTCCGTAAACAACCACTTCAAAAATACAACTAAAAGACGGAACGGACATCAACCAGAACCACAGGAAGGCTGGCTGAGGAGAGACTCTTCAACTAGAAGGAAAAACAACAGCATTCCGAGGCTCAGAGGAGGCGCAGTGTGGAAAATTTAAAGGTACGGTGGTGCGGTGGTACGTGCGCAAAGCGGGCTGGTGGCTGAGGGCGCGGTTGTCGTTTTCAATCAGGAGGGAGTCTCAGACTCTGGGCTACAGATCCGGGCGAGTCTCTAGGGACCCAGACTCAAACGGGAGAAGCGGGACTGTCTGGCTACGGTCCCTCCGAGGTTTGCAGCGGTTACGGGGACAGAGAGGCAGAGCCCCTGGGGACGGACTGAGAGCGGCCATAACTGCTCCCTCCCCCCGCCCTGTTGATCCCGCCCCGCCCAAGCCCTGCGCACAGCCATTTGCCGATCGCCTCAGGCAAAGGCTGGATTAGCGCCTCCCCAGAAGACAGACGTTTTCCACACAGCTGATTCCTACAGCCAGTCGGCCTGGTGGTCAAATCCCTCTAGTGTTAACTACAACAATTAAGGCTTGGCTAGAACAAGACTGCGCACAAAGACCACAAGGGGGTGCACCAAGAAAGCATAAAAGATGCGGAGACAAAAAAACATGACACAAATGGAGGATATGGAGCTAAGAATCGCAATTTTGAGGGCTTGCTATAAACTTGAGCAGAGCCTCACGAAAACTAATGAGACCCTCGATGCTACGATAAAGAAATTAGAAAGTAAGCATACACGGACTGAAATAAAGAATATTATACCCAATAGCAGACCAGAGGAGCACAAGAATCAAACCAAAGATTCGACAAAAAACACCCAACTGGAAAAGCAAAATGAAAAAAGAATCCGAAAGTGTGAAGATAGTGTAAGGAGCCTCTGGGACAGCTTCAAGCGGACTAATATCAGAATAATAGGGGTGCCAGAAGATGAGAGACAGCAAGATATTGAAAACCTATTTCAAGAAATAATGGCAGAAAACTTCCCCCACCTGCTGAAAGAAATGGACTTACAGGTCCAAGAAGCGCAGAGAACCCCAAACAAAAGGAATCCAAAGAGGACCACACCAAGACACATCATAATTAAAATGCCAAGAGCAAAAGACAAAGAGAGAATCTTAAAAGCAGCAAGAGAAAGAGACTCAATTACCTACAAGGGAATACCCATACGACTGTCAGCTGATTTCTCAACAGAAACTTTGCAGGCCAGAAGGGAATGGCAAGAAATATTCAAAGTGCTGAATACCAAGAACCTACAACCAAGATTACTTTATCCAGCAAAGCTATCATTCAGAATTGAAGGTCAGATAAAGTGCTTCACAGATAAGGAAAAGCTAAAGGAGTTCATCACCACTAAACCAGTATTACACGAAATGCTGAAAGGTATCCTTTAAGAAGAGGAAGAAGAAAAAGGTAAAGATACAAATTGTGAACAACAAACATGCATCTATCAACAAGTGAATCTAAGAATCAAGTGAATAAATAATCTGATGTACAGAATGAACTGGTGATTATAATGAATCAGGGACATAGAAAGGGAATGGACTGACTATTCTTGGGGGGGAAAGGGGAATGGGAGATTCGGGAAGAGACTGGACAAAAATCGTGCACCTATGGATGAGGACAGTGGGTGGGGAGTGAGGGCGGAGGGTGGGGCGGGTACTGGAAGGAGGGGAGTTATTGGGGGGGGGAAAGAAGAACAAATGTAATCTGAACAATAAAAATTTAATTAAAAAAAATAAAAAAAATAAAAATAAAAAAAAGAAACACTGACAAATTCATGCATAAGGAAAAGGTTAAATTGTTGGTTCATCTATATAAATATAATATTACTGCCATTTAAAAATATATTTGGTGGCAGAATATATCTGTGACAAAAAATTAAGTGTTAAAATGCAGAATGTAAAACTATTATTACTTGGTTCTGATTTTTAAATTTTGTTGTTGTTGTTAACCCTCACCTGAGGATATTTTTTCCATTGATTTTCAGAGGTGGTAGAAGGGAGGGAGGGAAAAGGAAGGAAGTGGGGAGGGAGGGAGGGAGGGAGGGAGGGAGAGGGGGAAGGAAGGTGAGAGAGAAAACATTGATGTAAGAGAGACACATTAATTGGTTGCCTCACACATGTGTCCCAACCAGAGTGGGGATCAATGCTCCAACCCACTGAGCCACCCAGGCCAGGGCAATGCTGTGTTTCTAAATAAACAACATCTTCATGTTCCCTTGCTAAAAATCAAAACAAAACAAAATAACAAGGTAAAAAGCATTTCTCAAAAAGGATGAGAATTTCCAATTTTTAATATTTACTCCAGCCTTTAATGTGGAGCCTAATATGGAATAGCAGTATACATCTTCCACTCGTTAAAGCTTTTCTGTCCTATGATATTGTATATGCTCTTTAAGTTTTGTAACTTGGATTATTTCAAAGCTCAGGCTTGTGAGTATGAAGGGGCACGATGCAAGTAAGGAGATACCTTTCTGCTCAAGTTCTGTTGTTTTTTGTTTTTGTTTTTTCCAGATGCAATAGAGTAAGAGCTCCCTTTAGAATATTTTGTTGAAGTGGAAGTATTTAGAGGGAAATGTACAGGTATCTTCAGGTTACTTTGATATGTAGGAGAGATGGATAGAAATGTTACAAAGCAAGTGTAGCAAAACGTGAGTATAGAATTTAGGTAGTACATGGGTGTTCACTGTAAAAATCTTTAAACTTTGCTGTGTTCAAAATTTTTTTGTAATAGAATGTTTGTGGGAGAACACCAGAAGTTAAATTTGATAAAGTTTTTTAAAGAAAGAGAGACAGCAAAACTAAGTAATTTTTCTTTTTTTATTTCAGAGAGGAAGGAAGAGGGAGAGAGAGAGAAACATCAATGATGAGAGAGACTCATTGATGGCTGCCTCCTGCACGCCCCCCACTGGGGATCAAGCCCGCAACCTGGGCATGTGCCCCCGACCAGAATCGAACCTGGGACCCTTGAGTCCTCAAGCCAATGCTCTACCACCGAGCCAAACTGGCTAGGGCAAAGTAATTTTTTAAAAAGAATTCATAATCACAGATCACCTTGGGTGATCAAAACAGAACCACAAGAGCAAATGAACATAAATCCTAATCATATCTAGACTTTACAAGCTTAGAGTCTGATTATCTGAACAACTGGATCTGGAGGTTAGGGTTGGGAGATTTAGAAAAAATGAAGACAAAACAATATTCTTGATTTGGAGGTTTTCTTTCTCTCCTTTTTTCAAGGTTCGATTTGATCTGTTCTGGTTAAGAGATATGTTTGGAAATGTTATTAAGTAGCTCCTTCTGTCATTGAGTAATAAAGTTCATTGAAATTAAGCAAATAATGTTTCTATGCACCTTGGAATAATTTCACTTTTGGTTAGAAGTTCTTGACAATTTATCATGCTTATTCTGTTTTTAAAAACTCCATGCTTTTAGGTTGTATAGTATTTTCCCAAATATACCCATTACATGAAATTATCATTTAAAATTTTTATCTTGTGTAACAGATTATAAAAATCAAAATCTGACCTATTACTCACATTAATAAACTGAACCTGAGTAATAGAGACTAATATTTATATAGTACTCTGAATTCTGCGTGATAATGATTTTCAAAGAATTCGTAATAATAATACATTTGTAATGGAAAATAAATGTAGAAAGCATTGCAATACTTATTGAAACTTAACAATCTGAATGGTTTTGTCAAATGGTTATGTAGTTTAAAAAGCCTATTTTCTCTTACAGTTAATGTATACATGCAAAGGTCATCTAACTGAATAGCTGATTTTCCAGTTTATTGAATGTTATTTATCAATTATCTTATTTCATTTAATTTATTTTTTATTCCAGGAACACTACAAATTTCCTCCACTGAAAATATTGCTGCTTTAAAGTTTAAATGTCAACTGTTGACCCTATTGATAATTTGGCATTTTAGAATTCATTGTTTTTAAAATTTTATCTATTCCCAAAGGAATGAGAGTCTATATATGTCTTGCTGAAATTTCTATTTACCATTATGAGTTGTTCAGCCCCAAAGAGTTCTATATAAAAATGCACTGAGCCCTAACTGGTTTGGCTCAGTGGATAGAGCGTTGGCCTGCAGACTGAAGGGTCCTGGGTTCAATTCCAGCCAAGGGCCCATGCCCGGGTTGTGGGCTCGATCCCCACTAAGGGAAGTGCAGGAGGCAGCCAATCAATGAGTCTCTCTCATCGTTGGTGTTTCTATCTATCTCTCCCTCTCCCTTCCTCTCTGAAATCAATTAAAAAAATACATATATATATATATTATAAAAAAGAAAGAATGCACTGAACCCAAAGCCATATGTGTTCAGCCATTTGAAAAGAATAACATATGCAGAAATAATATACTATTTTTGAAGAAAGAAATTTGCAATTTATTTTGGTCATGGGCTCTCTTATTTATATTGAAATTCTTTTCTAGGTCATCCATGCCTGGCTTATCATTTCATCTCTATTGTTGCTGTTCTTTTTCTCATTCATTTATTTGGGGTAAGTGGTGAAATACTTGGTCTATTTTTCAGAAATTAATTCTGTTAAAGCCATGTCCTTTATTGATGAGTTACTCTTAAATTATAATTGTTTCCATATGTAGGTCATACTTGGTATACATAAGACAAGTTAATATAAGTAGGGATATTCTTTTATTGATCCTTGCTTATAATAAGTAGAACTGAAAGAACTCAAGACTATAATCAGTTCTAAGCCTTTTTTAGTGAAGAACTTACCTAATTATTTTAATAAAGAATTTTTTAAAAGTCTATAAATCAGATTGTTAAAGGATTTCAAGAAAGTGTATGCATGATTTAATTGCTTTCCAATTTTTTATATTGTTTTATAAGTTGTTTTTTCTCTCAAATGAAATCTTATTTGAAAATTTCACATATAAAATAGAAAAAGTAGAACTATCTGTTGAAAAGAGTAGAGAGGCTCAGAGATTTGCCAGGCTCAGAGATTTCTCAACCCCAGTGACTGAATCAAGTTTGTAAATCATTGGGATAGATCTTATATTAGGAACAGAAGCAATAAAACTAATACATAAATTGCCCCAGCCTGGTGGCTCACTTGGTTGGAGCATTGTCCCTTACACCAAAAAAAGGTTGCAGGTTTGATTCCAGGTCAGGGTACATACCTAGGTTGCCAGTTTGATCCTGGGTTGGGCACGTAAGGGAGGCAACCGATTGATGTTTCTCTCTCCCCTCTCTCTCTCTGCACCCCTTTCCCTTCCTGTCTCTCTAAAATCAATAAGCATATCCTCAAGTGAGGATTTAAAAAAACAACAACTAATGCATAAATGGAAAAGTTTGGTAGAGGCATTGGGAATAAGGACAGACAAAAGAAACAAATGTGAGAATCTGCAAGAACTCGGTGGTTTTCTAGAAAAAAAGAAAAGTTCAAAACTGCCACTGAAGCAGTAGAAAATCTAAATAGAGGTAAAAAGAAACAGCAGAAAGTTGTTGAAAAGGTTTCCATCCTACCTACCAATTAAAATAGTACCAGGCACAAATAGTTTCATATTAAACCTTCTAGGACTGGAAAATTCTAATAGTATTTTAACTGTTCCAAAACATAGAAAAAGAAGAAAAGCTTCCAGAATCATTTTATGAAGCCAACATAACATTGATACAAAAAAAAACACCCCATAAATTATAAAGTAAAAGGAAACAGTAGACCAATTCCATTTATTGATAGAAAAGGAATAACTAAATATTACACAGGATTCAGAAATACATTGGAGGAAAATATATTATGACCAAGTGGAGTTTGTTTGCAGAACGGAAGGTTGTTTCATTATTAGCAAATTTCAATATAAGTCACTGTGTTACTAGGCCATCATCTTTACATGCTAAAAGGCATTTGATGAAATTCAGCACATGTTCTTGATCAAATCCTATAAAAAACCAAACATATGATTACTTCTTTACCATCATAAAATGTACGAATCTCACCTAAAGGTCATTATCACCTCATAGGGAAGTAGAGGCATTCCTATTAATGTCAGGAACAAGATGGGGATTTCCTTTATCACTATTCACTGCTATTGTCTGCCATTGCTCTGGAGGGAATAGTAAACACAACTAAATGAGAGAGAAATAAAACAAGAGCTATAGAATTTGTAAAAGATGGTTAAATTATCAATATTTGGAGATAAAATGATCATTTACTTGGTTTCAGAACTAACCAAAAGACAATTATAATCACTAAGTATAGTTGGATTAATATTCTAATCTGGTAAGGTTGCAGGGAAGTAAACAAACACACAATGGTGTATAACTTTTTTAAAAATATGTATTTATTTCAGAGAGATGAAAGAAGAGGTTGAGAGGGAAAGATCAATGATAAGAGAGAATCAATATGCTGCCTCCTGCATACCTCCTACTAGGGATGAAACTGTGAACCGTGACTTCCAGGTTCATGTGTCAATGCTCAACCACTGAGCATACCAGCCAGGCTGGTGTATAACTTGTAAGAGCAGTTTGGCAAAGCCATTAACATTTTCAATGTATATGCACTGAACTTAGTAATTTAAAAGATAATAATTGTAGAATTGTTTCTAATGGCAAAAGAATGGAATCAGTCTAAATATCAATCAATAGAAAACTGATTAAATAAATTATGGTACATCCATACAATAAAGCCATTAAAAGAATGTGGCAGCTCTGATATACTAATGTGGAAAATTCTTCATTATTTTAGGAGGAAAAAGCCTGGTATAGAACAGTGTAATAATATGCTATCATTTGTGTCTAATAAAGAAGTGTATATATGATATAGATGTTCTCTAAAAGGATACACATGAGCCTGGCTGGTGTGCTCAGCGGTTGAGTGTCGAACCAGGAAACAAGAGGTTGTTGGTTCAATTCCTGGTTGGGGCACATGCCAGGTTGCAGGCTTGATCCCCAGTAGAGGGCATGCAGGAGGTAGTTAATCGATGATTCTCTCTCATCATTGATGTTTCTATCTCCCTCTCCCTTCTCTCTCTATAAAAATCAATAAAAACATATTCTTAAAAAACCTACTTATATAAGGATCCTGGGTGTAACATCACGTCCCGAAGCTTAACCAACCAGAAGGAAGTCAGTCCTGCAGGGGTCATCTTGGAAACGGCTGCGCCCTCCCCCAGCTGTTTCCTGAGGTGCGAGGTTTCAGGCAGGAACCCGCCCTCGGAGCGGAGTGTGGAAATACTGAGTCCTGGGTTGCCTTGCCAAGGGCTGCACCCTCCCTGAGGTGTTTCCCACGAGGCCTGAGGGAAGAACCCACCCTTGGAGCGCCAGAAGTGCCCAGCAGCAGTCAGTCCTGGGTTGCTGAGGCGGAGGCCACAGTGTGATAGAACTCTGGGTCTGGCCCAATAGGGGGCGTGGCCGGCCTTCAAACCAGACCCTGACAGGAGGGAGGAGGGAGCCCCATTCCTCACGGAATCGACAGGTGGCCAGCTTGCTGTCAGGGGCCTGCCAGCTAGGAATCCTATTCACCTGCATATCTGTATAAAGTTTTAATACATTATTTTAGAGTTCGTAGTGGTACTGTTTTACCCACAGCATCTACAGGAATTGCTACAAATTTACTTCTCGGTGGAAGCACCTTTCATTCCCAATATAAATTACCGATTCCATTAAATGAAACTTCAATTTCTAGACTCAATATAAAGAGTGAAGTTGCTAAAACTATTAAAAAGGCCCAACTTCTCATTATTGATGAATGCACCATGGCATCCAGTCATGCTATAAATGCCATAGACAGATTACTAAGAGAAATTATGAGTCTGAATGTTGTATTTGGTGGGAAAGTTCTTCTTGGAGGGGATTTTCGACATGTCTCAGTATTGTGCCACATGCTATGTGATCGGCCATAGTACAAACGAGTTTAAAGTACTGCAATGTTTGGGGATGTTTCAGAAAGTTGTCTCTTACATCAAATATGAGATCAGAGGATTCTGCTTATAGTGGATGGTTAGTAAAACTTGGAGATGGCAAACTTGATAGCAGTTTTCATTTAGGAATGGATATTATTGAAATCCCCTGTGAAATGATTTGTAATGGATCTATTATTGAAGCTACCTTTGGAAATACTATATCTATAGATAATATTAAAAATATATCTAAACGTGCAATTCTTTGTCCAAAAATGAGCATGTTCAAAAATTAAATGAAGAAATTTTGGATATACTCGATGGAGATTTTTACACATATTTGAGTGATGATTCTATTGATTCCACAAATGATGCTGAAAAGGAAAATTTTCCCATCGAATTTCTTAATAGTATTACTCCTTCGGGAATGCCGGGTCATAAATTAAAATTGAAAGTGGGTGCAATCATTATGCTGTTGAGAAATCTCAATAGTAAATGGGGTCTTTGTAATGGTACCAGATTTATTATCAAAAGATTACGACCTAACATTATCGAAGCTGAAGTATTAACAGGATCTGCAGAGGGAGAGGTTGTTCTGATTCCAAGAATTGATTTGTCCCCATCTGACACTGGCCTCCCATTTAAATTGATTCAACGACGGTTTCCCGTGATGCCAGCATTTGTGATGACTATTAATAAATCACAAGGACAAACTCTGGACAGAGTAGGCATATTCCTACCTGAACGCGTTTTTGCACGTGGTCAGTTATATGTTGCTTTCTCTCGAGTTTGAAGAGCATGTGACGTTATAGTTAAAGTTCTAAATACTTCATCACAAGGGAAATTAGTCAAGCACTTTGAACGTGTTTTCACTCTTAATGTGGTGTACAGGGAGATATTAGAATAAGTTTAATCACTTTATCAGTCATTGTTTGCATCACTGTTGTTTTTATATCATGTTTTTGTTGTTTTCATATCATGTTTTTGTTGTTTTTATATCATGCCTCTGTTGTTGTTATATCCTTTTGTTACTGTTTATTTATTAATTTATATATCATTTTCATATACATTTTACTAATTTCCTTTCATCTCTCACACTTCTATTATAGAGAAAGGGCAAATAGCAATATTAAAATATCTCCACTAATTAATTCCCTTTTAATGTGCACGAATTTCGTGCACCGGGCTACTAGTTAAAAAATAAAAGAATGCACATGAAATTATAATAGTGCTTTCCTTTGTAGAGGGGAACTATGGGAGGAAAACTTTTCATAGTATATGATGTGAATTTTTATATGTTATGCATGTATTACCTAGCCAAAGATTAATAATAATTTATGTGGGGTGGGTATTTAGTGCTAGGATATCTAAAATACTTAATACAAATAGCTACATTGTCCAGAAATTTCAACAGTTTTTTTAATTTTCAAAATCTCAAAACCATCTTTCTGGATAGTTCTGGAACCCAAAGTTTGTGTTTAAATTAAATGGGTGCTTTCTTTCTCATTTACCCAAGGTATCTTTTTTACATGTAATTTCTTTATTTTTAGACTAGAGACCTGATGCACGAAATTCGTGCAAGAGTAGGCCTTTCTTCTCCCAGCTGCCAGCACCGGCTTCACTCTGGCACCCGGGACCTGGGCTTCCCTCACTGTCCTGGCTTCATCTGAAAGGATATCCAGTCTAATTAGCATATTATGCTTTTATTATTATAGATGGTGGAATCCCCTCTCCCCTCCCAATTAAAATAGTATTTTTCTTCATTATAAAAATGGCCCTGGCTGAGTAGCTCATTTGGTTAGAGTGTCATCCCAGTACGCCAAGGTTTTGGGTTTGATGTTCAGTCCGGGCACATACAAGAACCAACCAATGAATGGAACAACAAATCAATATTCCTCTCTCTTTCTCTCTATCTCTCTCACACTCTCTGAAATCATTTTTTAAAAACACGACTAAGCATTCATTGTAAAAAAAAAACTATTTCACAAAATTATAAAGAGAAAAGTAGTAGAAAAATAACGAGATTCCCGTCATCTAAAGATAAGTCCTGCATCCTTTCAGGAGTTATATATCGATATATTGCTCTTCCTACTCACACACTGTTTCATAAATGAGCTTTTTTTTAAGGCAGCGGTGTCGTGTGTGTGTGTGTGTGTGTGTGTGTGTGTGTGTGTATGTCTTTTAATGGATTTATAAATTTCATCTTATGAAGATAGTAGAGGTCCGGTGCATGAATGCCTGGACGGGTGGGATCTGGGCAGATCAGGCTGGGGCAGCCAGGGGGAAGGGACTTGGGCGGTTGGCCAGCCCCGCCTCCTGGGCCTCACCTCCTGGCCAAACTCCCAGTCGAACTCCTGGTTGAGGGGACAATTTGCATATTAGCCTTTTTTTAAAAATATATTTTTATTGATTTTTAGAGAGAGAGGAAGGGAAAGGGAGAGATAGAAACATTGATGAGAGAGAAAGTCATCGATTGGCTGAAATCTGGGCATGTGCCCTGACTGGGAATCGAACTGGCTACCTCTTGGTTCCTGTGTCAATGCTCAACTGCTGAGCCACACCAGCCAGGCAGCATATTAGCCTTTTATTATATAGGATCATACATCCTAGCTAGAAAATTAATTGTTCATGTTTCATTTTTGTCAATTTTAGGTATTTTATTTATCTATTTTAATATTTTAATGCATTTTATTTGAACAGATAGCAAGTGTTCTACCATAACATATCTACCATAGATTTTGGGGGAAAACATGTTTTTTAAAAAATGAAGTGCTGGTTTTTTCATAAAATTTCTACACTCTCTAATCCTGCCCAGAATTAAAACCAGCATTACAGGTGACTACATGAATCATTCCTCCCATCCCTTTGTTATAATTTCAGATATTTTAAACGAGAGTTTCCCAAATTGTAGAATTAGTTATTTTAGGTGGTATATGGCCTTGTTTAGTTTTTGTACTTATTTTTATAGGTATGGTCTATGCTTCTGGTTTCCCATTTATATGAATGATACAGCTTTCTGTTAAAATAACTTGAGGAGAAAAGTGAATTAATTTAAAGAAAAATGTTAACATAATAGCACAGTTGATACAAGATATGCTAAAAATATGAAGGTGGGATATGAATATCTAATGATTGGGAACCATAGTTCTAAACTGTTTTGATAAAAATTATTATACATAAATCTTTTTATATCTCTTTCATTTTTTTCAGGGAAGTGTTTAAAACCTATAATGTTGCCGTAGACTACATTACTATTGCCCTCCTGATCTGGAATTTTGGTGTGGTGGGAATGATTGCCATTCATTGGAAAGGTCCACTGCGACTCCAGCAGGCGTATCTCATCATGATCAGTGCCCTCATGGCCCTGGTATTTATCAAGTACCTCCCAGAATGGACTGCGTGGCTCATCTTGGCTGTGATTTCAGTATATGGTAAAACCCGGGATTGACTTTTCTTTTTTCTTTTTTTTTATCACAGAGATACCTGACCTGGTGTATTTTCCTTCCTCTTCCAGTTATCTTGACTTATGAAAATGATAATGATTATATCCCACAGCCCTTCAGTAAATAGTTAATTAACGATGGCATCTTTTTCATATAAAGATTTCAATTTTTTGAGGTTAACATCTTTAAAAATATTTTATTACTGCCTCCAGTTTAACTCAGTGATACAGATTTCTGGTCAGGAGACTTAGATTCATATCCTATCTGTGCCACTGACAGCCTTTGTGACCTTAGGAATGTGACTCAGCCTATTTGAGCCTCAGTTGCTTCATTTGGAAAATGGGAACAATGCTTCCCAGAATTTGTAAGCACTAACAGAGTGCTCAACACATAAAATGCTCATTTTAGTTTTTAAAAATATATACTTTTATTGATTTCAGAGAGAAGAGGAGAGGGAGAGAGATAGAAACATTAATGATGAGAGAGAATCACTGATCGGCTGCCTCCTGCAATGGGGGATCGAGCCCCAACCTGGGCATGTGCACAGATTGGGAATCAAATCGTGACCTCCTGGTTCATAGGTCAACACTCAAGCCCTGAGCCACACTGGCTGGGCTCACTTAATTTTTAAAATAAAAATTAGGTTATCTGCTTTTTATAAGGCACTTGGGTAGAATTATTCTTTTAAAAATAAAACTTATTTGGGCAGTATGAGATTCAAATTCATAAACAACCAGTGTTACATGGGTCCTGAACAGTCAGAATGTGCCTTAGCCACGAATAACCAAGGCAGCTGTACAAGTGTGTACTCTGTGGCTATTGCCCTGCATGAAAGCCACAAAAAGAGATCCATTTTTAGAGGTCAGTATGTGGTTTCTACATTATAAGTAGGTAGTGCTTTTTTATTCCTATACAGTTGCTTATTAAAAAATGTCAAGGGACCTATATTAGGAAACCTCATCATCCCAAATTGAGTGTCGAAGAAAAGTGTATGGAAATAGAATTGGATTGGTTCCGTGCTCATATAAAACTAAAGTCATATGCCCTCTATGCCTGACTTTAGGTTATCTTGTCTAAGCCACCATCTGACTGTCCCACTCGACTGGTAGCTATGACACTCAATGACCACCAGGGTGCAGACGCTCCAACCAGTAGCTGTGATGCGCACTGACCACCAGGAGGCAGATACTCAATGCAGGAGCTGCCGAGCTGTGGTGACTTGGCAGCTGCGGTTCTAGGGTGACACACCCGGAACCAGAGAGGAGGGAGCCCAATTACAGTGTGTGTCACCTGAGAACCGACCTCCAGCAATCCATGACCCCTCGGGAGATGTTGGAGAGCCAGTTTCGGCCTGATCCCCGCAGGCCAGTCCAAGGGACCCCACCAGTGCACGAATCCGTGACCAGGCCTCTAGGAAAATAGAATAGTACTTGATGATTTGCAAAGTACTCATCAATTATTCCATAGCTATGATTAAGAGTGTCAGTGCTGTACTTCATCCAATCAGTAACTAATAAATACTTTGTAGTCAAAGATTTTACTAATATGTTCTGTTCAGTGCCATTGTCAACAATCACATTTTGCTAAGAAACCTGAAGTTTATATAGGTGAAGTATTTGCCCAAGCTTACCCTGTTTGATGTAGAATTGGAATCCCAAGATCAGTATTTTTTTCTACTACATTACACTGTTTTTCCCATCAACCCTTTATTTCCTTCAAATATGATACAAATAATTACCTCTACAGAGCTTTGAGTTCCTTTAAAATGCAAAACTTTTGTGTCTAATATTTAGAGCAGTGATTTTCAACCTTTTTCATCTCATGGCACACATAAATTAATACTAAAATTCTGAGGCACACCAAAAAATATTTAGGAACACAACAAATTTCTCTTCTTATCCAAAACAAATTGAAGTGGAAGCAGTGAGAGTAGCAATTTCTGTGTGTGTGTGTCTGTGTGTGTGTGTGTATTATATTATTTTTAGTAGTAGTAGTAGTAGTTTACAAGGCATGACCATTTGCAGGCATGAGATGTTTTACTTAAATGCATCGGAATGATTGGAATGTCACCATAAGCTATCAAGTTTTCCTTTAAAATGTAGCTCTACCTGTTTTATATTTTTAAATGTTTGAAATTATTTTCCATATTCTGAATTTTCATGATAGAAAATGTAAGAACAACTGCAGTTATTGGAAAGAGATGGTGGTAGAATCAAGACTAATTTAGACCAAAAAAAAAAAAAAAAGAAGAATTTAGGCATATTGCTTCCTCTCTCAGTTGGTATTTTTGTGAAAACAGGTATACTCTAAGACCTAAATATTTATGAAGTGCTTTTGACAGGAAAACTAAAGAAATGCTAAACTCTCTCATAGAAAAGTTTATTATTTTATTTTGTTTAAATTTACTGCCCTTTTATTTCAAGTACCCATAAGTAGTACATATACTATTTTTTAAAAGGAGAGAAGATTAATCTCTTGTCTGCTCTTCATATTTTGAAAAGTTCAATCAAATACCCTCTATTAAATTCCTCTTAGAATAAAGCTCCTATTTGTGGCTCATGGGTATGGTTTGTTTGCAAATGGCTTGTCCCTGTTTTCTGCTTATTGGACATTGACAATTACTCTAGAATAGTTCTGTCTTGCAATTATCTCTGCCTCTTTTCTTCAAACTGGGAAAAGTTATTCCTAGAACCCAATAATGATACATTGTAAACTAACCGAATAGCGTCAGAACCAAAATAAAATTTGCACAGATCTGTAGGGTTTTGATTAGGTTGCCCCCCATACCAGTTTACCTGCTATTTATTTCATATTCATTCAACATCTTTTAAAAAATAGTTTATTGATTTTAGAGAGAGAGAAAGGGAGAGGGAGCGAGAAACATCAATGTGATAGCCTAACATCGATCGGCTGCCTCCTGCATGTTCCCTGCTGGGGATTGAGGCAGTGACCCCAGAGTGTGTCCTGACTGGGAATTGAACCAGCAACCTTTCAGTGCACGGGAAGACACCCACCCAACTGAGCCACACTAGCCAGGGCCATTTCACATCTTTTTGTTTAAAAAAAAATTAAATATTCTCCATTGGCTAATTTCTCTCTAACACACCTACTTACAAGTTTAGCCAATACATTTTTTCAGATTTCTTTTCTATTTTTCTCTTTCTAGATTTAGTGGCTGTTTTGTGTCCAAAAGGCCCACTTCGTATGCTGGTTGAAACAGCTCAGGAAAGAAATGAAACTCTCTTTCCGGCTCTCATTTACTCCTGTAAGTATGTTGGAATGGTATTAAATTAGGAAGCAGCTTAGAGTTTATAGGAACTGAAACATGTGACTAGGTCATTATCATGGTACTTTGTCTCATCTTAAATGCAAGCATTTTAATGGAACTCCTGCAGATCTCTGTTTCCTTGCAAATTATTACCTTCCACTTGACATGGTAGAGAGAGAAGTAATAATTAAAGTTTTTTTAAAAAATAGGTTTTTATTGATATTAGAGAGAAAGAGAGAGAGAGAAACATAGATCGACTGCCTCCTGCACTCACCCCAACCAGGGAACAAACATGCAATCTGGGCATGTGCCATGACTGGGAATTGAACTAGAGAACTTTTGGTGCATGGGACAACGCTCAACCAACTGAGCCACACTGGTCAGGGCAAGATAGAAGTAATATTTAGAAATTGGGGAGCCAGTATTCTCACTTAAAATCTTACTAGTCAAGTGTTACTGAGTACTTGTTATAGACATATATTGCAGAGTTTATGAAAGAATTGTACTGTTCCTTCAGAATGTGCTTGCCTTTTTTTTGTTTTAGAATCATCCTCTTCCTAATAATTCAGTAAATATTTATTGGGCATTGACAATCTTTTCCCATAGAGCACTGTGGGGACAAAAAGATGATTAAGATACTTTTGCCTTCCCTCAGAGCTCGTTTTCGTACAATTTAGAGGTCAGATAAGAAAGTATACAAATAAGCAGCATCCAAGGAAGAATGTGATCAGAGTGAGAAGAGGCACCAAGTGGAGAGAATTCAAAGGGGGGAAGTCTGGCTGGGGACGCAGGGAAGGCTTCCTGGAAGAGACAGCATTTGGATTGAATCTGTTAAGGATATGGCAGGATTGCAGCAAGCACAGAGGGAAATCAGTTCCATAAGTGGGCTTATCACAGAATGGCTTGGAGGTATAAGTGTGGGGCCTCTTTATCAAATTTAAAGTGTTTAATTTGACTAGAACATGGAGTACAAAATGGGGAGAATACTAGGGAGAGTTTAGAGAAGCAGATTACAGCAAGATCAACTGTAGATTTGAGTGACTGGTTTAGCTCTCTATGCTTTTCATGATCACTGGAGAACCATAAAAGGTTCTTGAGCAGAAGAATAAAGAAACAAGAATAAAGAAAAATATGTGATAAAAACCAGATGTGACCCACAAGCCTGAAATGTTTACTGTTTGGCCCTTTATAGGAAAAGGCGGTAGACCCCTGATTTCTGTAGTAATGTTAAATGTTAAAAGAGTTTGTAGCAATATTTTCTCATTTGCATAAAGAAAAAATCAAACACCTGCTGCCTGTGTTGCCAAGAAGGCTACAGAAATCCATAAGCCTGGTACATGATGGTTGCCTTCTGTTTCTCTTATTTGGGTTTGGATTAGTTGAACAGTGCATTGCCTGCCTGGCTTATGTTGACTTTGATCAGTTAGTTGTGTTATTGTATAATGTAACTTATTTAACCTCAGAATAACAAAGTCACGAATAAATATGCCTATTATAGAATTTTCAGCCTCTTTTTTGTGTATTTTTTTCATAAGTTATTCAAGAAGCCTAAGAGTATTAGGAACAGGGGTATAATGATAAAATTTGTGATAAAAAGCAAGAGAGACATAGACGCCAAGTATCTTGTTAAAATTGCTTACTATGATCAGGTGGGGCATTTGTTCCTGGTGTAGCCCTGTATGGTACATGTTTATATGAATTTTTATATTATTGTTGGTGTATTTTCAGGTTAACTTTGCAAAAGTGGTATTCCTGGGTCGAAGGGTTAATGTATATGTAGTTTTGCTAGATGTTACCAAATTCCCCTCCAGTAGGGTATATACCAGTGATGGCGAACCTTTTGAGCTCAGCGTGTCAGCATTTTGAAAAACCCTAACTTAACTCTGGTGCCGTGTCACATATAGAAATTTTTTTATATTTGCAACCATAGTAAAACAAAGATGTATATTTTTGATATTTATTTTATATATTTAAATGCCATTTAACAAAGAAAAATCAACCAAAAAAATGAGTTCGCGTGTCACCTCTGACACGCGTATCATAGGTTCGCCATCACTGGTCTATACCATTTTTAGTTCCATGAAATATATGAGGAGCACCATTTAAAGTATTGATATTATCTCTTAATTAAAATGTGACAGAGATATGTATGTATGTATCTATGTATATATATTTTTTCTTATTCTCCATATGTAACACAGGCTAGCATTATTGAAAATCCCAGAAACGACACATGATATGAAGGAAACTTATTCCACGCATTTTTAGAATTATAATAAGCATATGATACTCTTGTGAACCCTATTTTGTCCTCTAATTTAGTTTCAAGAAGTAGTTTTTATTCGTGAATTCACACTATTTTAGGAAATTCAACTAGTCCAGTTACTGTTGCAGTAGAATCTTGCCGGCCTGAAGAGTTTTCCTTTGGTTACTTTCAGGGACTGTAAATGATGATGAGCAGTTTTACAAGAGCAGCTGCAGTTTTAACACTACAGTAAACATTTAATTTCAGAACTTTTTATATGCCAGAATCAAAGAGAACCTTTTGTGTTTTTTAAAATGCATTTAGTTCTGATTTTTAAGCATGCTTTAGGGGACATTAAGAAGATTGGTAGGAAGAGATTAATGGGGGAAAAGGATGACCTAGGTAATACTTTCAGTAATAAAGATTAAAAGAAAAAAAGAAGAAGATTAGTGATTTGTGTGGAGAACTGATGGCCTGCTGTCTATTCGTGCACTTTCCTTCTGTGTTTCCAGTGCTTACCTGGACTTTTGTCTTTCTCAACAGCAACCATGGTGTGGTTGGTGAATATGGCAAAAGGAGACCCAGAAGCCCAGAGGAAGGTATCCAAAAACTCCAATTATAATGAACAAAGTAGGTATATTTTGTTTGGTGATTTCCTGGAGTTTAAAGTCATTATCATCTTATAGGCTAACAATTAGTTATAAAGTGGTGATTGTAACCTTTTTCTTTGGTCATAGATTCCTTTGAGAATCTCCTGAAAGCTGTGGTAATACCCAGTAAAAATACAGATAAATATTAAGGAGTCCAAATGGTCCAAACCCAATAGTACAGCCAAGGCACCCAGGTTAAGAATTTCTGCCATTGCGTACCATTAATACCAGTATGAAAGTTTCAAGTGGAGGCTGATTTTAAAAAGAACAGGTAGCCTTTCTCTCCAAACCTGTTGAAAATGAGAATCTCTTATTTGACATGGCCAGACCAACTTAAAAGTAATTTTATTTTGAATGTGATCATGATTATACTGAGAAGATAAAACGTTCTGGGAGGACATGACTTTCTGGAGGAGGCTAATGATGACCTAGGAGGGGAGATGGAAAGGCCCACGTATGGAAACTGCTGAAGAGATTAAGGAGAACATAAGTTAGAAGTTACTAGAAAGAGTTGAATAACAAAACAATATCAATAATCAAGAAGAAAGGAAACTTTTTTTAAAGAAAAGCAAACGGGTAGCCTTATGAGGAAGCTGAAAAACAGAAGTAGAATAAAAGTTGGTGAGAGAAGTGAAAAGGGCCTTCACTGAGCTGTTGTTTGTCAGGAAAGGAAAGGGTTAGGTTGTATAGAGCCAAGAAAACTGCTGTTTCAGCTTTTGGGTAACTGAGGACACTTTCAACTGGGAATTCTTATTTGGGACCCAAAGATTCCAGGTTCATTCTGCAGTGAGCAAAGCAGCAGAACAAGGTGACATTGCACCCGCAGTAGACCTGGTAGAGAAGTAGGAAATATATTGGAAATAATTGCTACAAGTCTGGTTATTATGTTAACCTGTGTTAAGCTAAAGCAAATTAAAAGATTGTCTGTGAGTATATATGTTTATATGTATGTGAGTATGTGTGTTTATTTGGCATATCAAGATTTTATTCTTTTGATAAATGTTGATTGAGCACCTAACTGTGCCTGATATTTTGCTAGGTACTGGGGATATAGCACTGAATGAGATACCCCGTTCTGTGGAGCTTGTAGCCTATTTAGGGCAGCGGTTCTCAACCTGTGGGTCGCGACCCCTTTGGCGGTCGAACGACCCTTTCACGGGGGTCGCCTAAGACCATCCTGCGTATCAGATATTTACATTACGATTCATAACAGTAGCAACATTACAGTTATGAAGTAGCAACGAAAATAATTTTATGGTTGGGTCACAGCATGAGGAACTGTATTTAAAGGGCCAGAAGGTTGAGAACCACTGATTTAGGGGGACACAAACATTCAACAGGTAATTCATACAGTTGCTATGAAAGTTTATGTAGAAGAATTTCATTTATTCTGGAAAGTCAAGGAAGGCTTCCTTGGGGAAGTGATCCTAGATGAAGAATGGAAGCGTTTTCCAGAAGAGGAAACGACCTGGGCAGGGCCTTGAAGTGAGAAGGAGCTGGATAAGCTGCAGAGTCCTCAGGGGAGTGCTGTTGGTATTTTGGGTGGGGCAGTTCTTGGTAGTCATGTGGGACTTCTCCCACTGCAGGATGTCTAACATTCCTGGCCCCTCACCCACTAAATGCTAATCGTGACTTCCAGGTATTACAACTCAAAACTCCTCCAGCATAGTTAGTTCCAAATGCCCCCTGGGAAAACACTAGAGGAACTAGAGGTCACTTTGGGGCAAAAGGGCATAGGCCTCCAGGAGCGATGTCTATACAAGGAAAGAACAGAACAGAGCTGGGAGGTTACCTGACTATGAACTCTGTTAAGAGTTTGAGGATGAATTAGTCGTAATACATAGAAAATTAGTTAAGGAAAAAAAATTAGGCAGTTTTCCAGAGAAAACAAAAAGTCATACAGAAGAAGCAAATGTAATTAGAGTATATTCTGGTTGTAGCCAAGTATTTTAGTTGTGAATACTTTTTGCATTGTGATAGTATAAAAATTGAACTTAACATAAAATTATGACGAAGTGAGAATATGGGGAGAGGTAAATTTCCATGTGTGCATGAGTATGAAAGCTATGCTTCATTTCCCTGTAGGAAGTGATTGAGTTTTAACCTAAAATAAAAACATCAAGATATAACACTATGAACATGCTATTTATAATTAATTATGAGGGTTAATACCAAAGGAAACAGCTGAGCAGTTTGAAAGTAGGAGTGAGAATTAGGAGGAGGGAAGGGACAGAGCAGGGACTGTTGTTTTATTTATAAACCTTATGCTTATATGACTTCACAAACTCCGAACCAGGGAAGATTCCATTTTGTGGTGACCTGGTTAAGAAAAGAATATAAAATTGTGAGGACCCCTCCCAGAAAAAATGTATGCAAGGGAGAGGCCTGAAGCGTGCAGGCTTAATTTATTCATGATAAATCTACCTCTGCTATGAACATGTGTCACTTGTATAAACAACAACAAAAAAATTATCTACTCCACTTAATATATTATGATTATTTTTTATGTGTGGAAGGTTCTCAAGACTCTCATGTTATGCTCACAATTTTCAGACTGACAGTCATCACAAAATGACTAGCCCATAAAAAATGCGTTCTCTACCCACCCCCCACCTCACCTCCCTACCTGCAGGAGTGGTCTCTTGTATAACTTCTTAGGCACTAAAGCCAGAGCTGAGTTTTCAGAAACAAGTGGTTAGAAAGCTTTCAGCTGCAAACATCAGAAAAACCAACTTGTTTGCTTTAAACAAGAAGAAATGTGTTCTCTCACATGACCAGAGTCCTGAGGTGTAGACATTTGTAGGGTTGGTTAATTTTGTGGCTCATCAGTGTTATCAAGGGCCCAGGTTCTTTTCGTCTTCCTGCTGTGCCATCCTTAAATATAGGCTTGGTCCTTAGCCCACTGCTCCTCGTGGTCACAAGATAACAAGTACAGTTCCAGGCATCATACCCAGATAAGACAACATCCAGGGGAAAAGGAGGGCAGTTAGTAAAGAGTGAGAAAAATTTCCCCCAAATTCCTAGCAGGCTTTGCCTCATCACACATTGACTAGTACCAAACCCACAGCCTCAGAGCTTTCATTGGGAAGAGGAATGCTGGAGTTGGATCGATCAGGATTTACCACCTGAGTCATGTGAGCGAGAGGTGGAAATCCAGACACATCAGGACTGCCCTCAGGAATAAGGGGAGAAATGGCTATTGGGTAAGCAGTCAGCAGGCCCTGCTACAGCCCATGTTTTGTGGTTTAAGAGCCAGCTAACCAGTTATAATGACAATCAAGTAGTTACTGTTTCCATGTAACTTTCTTAAAGGTATTAAGAAAATTTTCTGAATATTACAATTGTGATTTCTGCTTTTTCTTGAAGACACAGGGAGTGAGTCACAGAACCCTGTGACAGAGAGTGATGATGGTGGCTTCAGTGAAGAGTGGGAAGCCCAGCGGGACAGTCGCCTGGGACCTCATCACTCTACAACTGAGTCACGAAGTGCTGTACAGGAGATTTCCAGCAGCATCCTAGCCAGTGAGGACCCAGAGGAAAGTATGTGCATTTCTCTAATTGAAAGTCATGGATTCCTGTAGGTGCTGCAGCATCAAACCATCCCAAAATAAAATGAACCGAGAGCACTAGTCTACTTCTAAAGAACAGTACAGCTTTTAGTGGGAAATAACAATAGGCAGTGCCTATATATATATATATAATTGATTTCAGAGAGAAAGGGAGAGGAAGAGTGAGATAGAAACATCAATGATGAGAGAGAATCATTGATCGGCTGCCTCCTGCATGCCCCCCAATGGGGATCGAGCCCACAACCCAGGCATGTACCCTGACCTGGAATCAAACTGTGACCTCCTGGGTCATAGGTTGATGCCCAACCACTGAGCCATGCCGGCTGAGCTAGTCGGTGCTTTTCTCATAGCATCATTTGTTTATGGGTCAAATTCTGCCCCTCAGGTTTTTTAAATTGGCCTTTTACAGTCTGATCTTTGGCATTGGTTTTATAAGGTCAAAGATTTTTTTATTTTTCCAGTAAGATTTCATGGCTGCAGTATTCTTGTTACAAATATTTTATCAGTATTTTTTACTTTTTGCTGTACAAAGACCAATGGGTTTGAATGTTTCAGTCTTTTACATTGTTATTCCCTTTGTTGGCAACCTCCTCCTAACTTCAGATTAATATTTTCTTTGTCTGGGACCAATATAAACTAATACTTCATCATTTTGGGATCCACTACCACACAAACACTCTGATTACAGTAGTGTTTTAAACCAGACTTCTGGTTACTGATAACGGTCTCTGTTTATACTAGAAATTGATTTCTAAAAAGACACATATGTCTTCCAGGACAACCTTTTAAAAATCAACATTTAATCAGAAAACTAAACAGAGCCTTTAATTAGAAATGTAAAACTTTTTTTTTTTCAGTGTGAAGGCAGTTGGTCTTCTATTGAATTTCAAAAATATTCTTCCTTCAAACATCATGTGGGCAGCAGGCTCATCCCCAGTGCACTACTGTTAATCTTAAAATTATCAGAGCAATGAAAGTACCTGCTGTTTCCAGGAGAGGGGAGTTGACTCATGGAGGTTCTTTTCTATTTACCTCAAGGAAGGAGAGAGAAGGGTTTTGCTATTTTTTCAAGGAAGAGATTTTAGTAGTATAAAGGTAAAGTAAGTTTCAGGCAGTTTTTAATATGTTTATATTTATTGAAAAGATAATAGGAAATAGTTGTTATTATGCTATTATATTTAAGCTAGGCACATATTATGCTGCTGGAGGTCATATAGAGAAATCTTACAATTAAAGTGAACAGTCACCATCATTGTCTTTACTATGTCTTGTGTTTGGTAGACCATCAGATGCCCCTTTTAATATTAAAAGAATACCATAATTACTTAAAATTATTTTTCAGAGTTGGCAAAAACAAAACAAAAAAACAACAGAAGGCTTAGACTGCCATTATTAGCAAATAGTAGAAAAATGCTAGCAGCCAATTTTAGCATACTTGGCAATAGCATACAATTAATTCATTATGTCTAACTTCAGCAGTTTCCAGGGCTGTGATTTTAGTTGTTTAGCCATGTCTTATTTTGACTGAATAAATAAAAGTGAGCTGTTTAAAGAAAACAAATTCCCAGCAACTGATTTTTCTTAGGTTTTACTGATTCAGTTTCTTCTGGTTATAGGTCAATAAAATTTGTCCTTTTGGTAAGTGCTAAAGAAAAAAATTGATGGTTACTTCTTTGTTTTCTTTCTCTATTTTATTTTATTTTAAATATATTTTTATTACTGATTTCAGAGAGGAAAGGAGAGGGAGAGAGAGTTAGAAACATCAATGGTGAGAAAGAACCATTGATCGGCTACCTCCTGCACACTGCACACTAGGGATTGAGCCCGTAACCTGGACATGTGCCCTGACCAGGAATCAAACCGTGACCTCCTAGTTCATAGGTCAATGCTCAACTCCTGAGCCACCCCAGCCGGGCTTCTGTCTCTATTTTAATTTTGCTAATAAAATATACTTATATTTATCTCTTAATTAAAATGAATTCTGTGAAGTATTACTATAGCATTTATCATAATATTGCTATTATTTACACAAAACTTTAAGTGAAGAAAATGTCAGGCCATAATTTTAAGCTTAATTCAATACATTATTTTTTTTAAAGCTATATTGACATATAATTCACTTACTATAACAATTCATGCATAAAACCCACACTTTTTAGGTGCCACCTCTCCATCCCCCCATTTAAAGTATACAGTGCATTGGTTTTTATTGTATTCAGAGTTAGGCAGTCATCACCACAAGTGAATTCTAGAACATGTTCATCACCTCAGAAAGAAACCTTTACCCATTCATTAGCCTCCACACCCCTCAACACCAACCAGTGTGTACTGTCTTACTATGTTTTCCTGTTCTGGACATTTATTAAAGTGTGGTCCTTTGTACTGGTTTCTTTCACTTAGCGTAATGTTTTAAGACTCATCTATGTTATAGCATATATCAGTACTTCATTACTTTTTATAGCCAAACACAATTCCATTGTATGGATATGCCACAACTGTTACCCATTTTCCAGTTAATGGACATCTGGGTTGTTTCTGTTTTTGGCTTTTATGCAAACTGTTGCTATGAACATTCATGTAAACGTATTTGTGTGTACTATATACGTTTTTATTTCTCTTGGGTATTTACCTAGCAGCGGAATTGCTGGGTCATCAGGTAACTCTAGGTTTAATCTTTTGAGGAACTGCCAGACCATTTTCCAAGCAACTATACTATTTTATGATCTCACCAGCAATATGTGAATGTTCTAATTTTTTCACATCCTCACCAACACTTGTTTTTGTCTTTTTTATTATAATCATTCCATAAAGTGGTTATGGTTTTGATTAGCATTTCCCTGATGGCTAATGATATTGAGTATCTTTTTGTGTGTTTATTGGTTATTTGTGTTTTCTTTGGAGAACTGTCTAGTCAAATTCTTTGCCCATTTTTTATATCTTTTTTTTAAATTATTGAGTTATAGTGGTTCTTTATATATTCTAGATACAAGTTCCTTATCAGATAAATGCTAATTCCTCCCCTCCCCCTGGATTATTTTTAAAAAGTTTTTCTGTAGCATTCTTTTTCTGAAAAACTAAGTTTCTTTTAGTTTCTTATAGTGTTTACTATTTGTAATCAAAATTCTTTGTAAGGCTACCATTTGTTTAGTGTGTTGCAAGAACTTTTCCTGTATTATTTTTAACTCTGATGATAATACAATGAAATAGCTTTGTAATCTCTATCTTATACCTGAGGAATTTGAGGATTGAAGAAATTAATCAACTTGCCCTGGATCACACAAGTACTTAAATACTAAATAGTAGAGCTGCACCCTTGCAATGATGGGTGTATTCACCCTGGGAAGGCTAGCTCGCCCTGTCATTCAGAGCATCGAATGTTATGGGTCAGATGTTTATCTTTTCCACTAAGAAGACTTCATTCTGGTGTCCATGATTTAAGAGCACTGGTTTTTCTCAGGAAGATCTTACTAGTAATCACTCCACTTCCTTCTCACTCACATGTGGAACAGACTGTACTTCTCAGGCCCCTCAGCCCCTATCTTCTGGAAATGGGTTCTGTAACCGGGTCAACAAGGAAATTCTGACATGCTATAACATAGATGAGCATTGAGGACATTATGCTAAGTGAAATAATCCAGTAAAAAAACCACAAATGCTATATGATTCCACTTATACGAAGTACCTAGAGTAGTCCAACTTAGAAAGTAGAAAGATGATTGCCAGGGGACTGGAGGGAGAGAGGAAGGAGTTACTGTTTAGTGGGTACAGAGTTTCAGTTTTACATGCTGAAAAGAGCTCTGTGGATGGCTGGTGGTGATGGTAGCACAGCAGTGTGAATGTATGTAATGCCACTGGACTGTGTTTTACCACAATTAAAATTTTTTTAAACATGAAGAAAAGGAAAAGAAGCCACAGAAAAGAAAATATTGCAAATCATACTGCAAGTCCTGTTAAAGAACTTGTACTTAGAATATATAAAGAATGCGAGAAACCAAGATGGCGGCATAGGTAAACACCTGAAATTGCTGCCTCGCACAACCACTTCAAAAATACAACTAAAAGACAAAACGGACATCATCCAGAACCACAGGAAGGCTGGCTGAGTGGAAATTCTACAACTAGAAGGGAAGAGAAAAGCACACTGAGACTCAGAGGAGGTGTGGAAGTAAAGTGCAGAAGTATGGAGGCGCGCGCGGAAAGGGCTGGCAACTGAGGACGCGGTTGTCTTTTTCAATCGGGAGGGAGGCACAAACTCCCGACAGCCCTGACTACAGTTCCGGGCGAGTCTCTGGGGACCCAGACTCATACAGGGAGAAACTGGACTGTCAGGCAGAGGGCGGAACTCGAGGGCAGCTTTCTCTCAGAGATGCTTACAGTGATTACCACGGGACACTGTGAGACCCAGGACCTCTTAGGGCAGGACTGAGGATCAGCCATAGCTGTTTGCTCCACCCTGTTGATTCCCTGAGACTGCCCCCCCCCAAGCTGTGTGCAGAGGCTTTTGCATATAAATGACCTGGCCCTTTGCCATCTAAAATTACCTAACAAACTGCAGCTGGGTCAGAGAGACCCAGAACATCCAAAAGAAGGCCCAAGGCTCCACAGCAGCTTGCATTGCTTCACAGCTGGGCCTCATCTGGGCACCTCCAAATCCCAAACAAAGAAGAGGAATCTGTAGATCTCTCCATAGCTCCTATTGGGTAGCCTCAGGCAGAGGCTAAATTAGCACCTCCTTAGAGATCCAAGTGCCAGTGTACCCAGTGGTCAGAGTGGGACCATCCAGATTACAACTCCTCAGATCCATAAGGGACACACTCAGGGGGCAGATTCAGTGAGCACCAAAGCCCCACTGAAGCAAGTCTTGCCCCATAAGGGTGTCTCTAGCACAGAAGTTCTCCCACCGTAAACACAGCTGATTCTAACAGCCAATTGGCCTGGAGGTCAATTCCTACCAGTGATACTAACTACAGTCAAGGCTTAACTACAAGACTGTGCACACAGCCCACAAAGGGGTGCACCAAGAGTGTCCACCTCAGGTAATTGGGGAGGCTGAGCCACTGGGCCCTATAGGACACCTAGCACAGAAAGCCACTCTATCAACACAGGAAAGCATAAAAAATGCGGAGACAAAGAAACAGGTCACAAATGACAGAAATGGAGGAAAGCAAACTACTAGATATAGAGTTCAAAACCACGGTTTTAAGGTTTTTCAAGAATTTTCTAGAAACTGCTGATAAATTTAGTAAGACCCTCAATAAGTCTAGTGAGACCCTTGAGGATATGAAAAAGGACCAACTAGAAATTAAGCATATACTGACTGAAATAAAGAATACAGAGATCCAACAGCAGACTAGAGGATTGCACGAATCAAGTCAAAGATTTGAAGTACGAAGAAGTAAAAAATACCCAACCGGAAAAGAAAAAAGAATCCAAAAATATGAAGATAGTGTAAGGAGCCTCTGGGACAACTTCAAGCGTACCAACATACGAATTATGGGGGTGCCAGAAGAAGAGAGCAAGATATTGAAAACCTATTTGAAGAAATAATGACAGAAAACTTCCCCTACCTGGTGAAAGAAATAGACTTATAAGTCCAGGAAGCGCAGAGAACCCCAAACAAAAGGAATCCAAAGAGGACCACACCAAGACACATCATAATTAAAATGCCAAGAGCAAAAGACAAAGAGAGAATCTTAAAAGCAGCAAGAGAAAAACAGTCAGTTACCTACAAGGGAGTACCCATACAATTGTCAGCTGATTTCTCAACGGAAACTATGCAGGCCAGAAGGGAGTGGCAAGAAATATTCAAAGTGATGAATACCAAGAACCTACAACCAAGATTACTTTACCCAGCAAAGCTATCATTCAGAATTGAAGGTCAGATAAAGAGCTTCACAGATAAGAAAAAGCTAAAGGAGTTCATCACCACCAAATCAGTATTATATGAAATGCTGAAAGGTATCCTTTAAGAAGAGGAAGAAGAAGAAAAAGGTAAAGATAAAAATTATGAACAATAAATACACATCTATCAACAAGTGAATCTAAAAATCAAGTGAATAAAAAATCTGATGAACAGAATAAACTGGTGAATATAATAGAATCAGGGGCATAGAAAGGGAGTGGACTGATAATTCTCGGGGGGAAAGGGGTGTGGGGGTGTGGGAAGAGACTGGACAAAAATCGTACACCTATGGATGAGGACAGTGGGAAGGGGGGAAGGGCAGAGGGTGGAGTGAGAACCGGGTGGAGGGGAGCTATGGGGGAAAAAAGAGGAACAACTGTAATAATCTAAACAATAAAGATTTAAAAAAAAGAATATATAAAGAATGCTTACAACTCCATAATAGGAAGATAATCCAGTAAAAAGTAGGAAATGCTTTGAATAGACATTTCACCAAAGGAGAAATATAATGGCTAATAAACACATGAAAAGCTACTCAACGTAAGAATGGCTTGACTAAAAAATAAAAATTAGTAATACTAAGTGTTGGTGAGCATCTGAGGAAACTGAAACCCTCTTGCATTGCTCGTGGTACAAAGCCAGTATGAAAAGGAATTTGGCAGTTTCTTAAAAAGCTACACACAAACTCACCATATAACCTAGCAATTCCACTTCTAGGGATTGACTCCATGGAAGTGAAAACAATCTGCCCACACAAAAATATGTGTGTACAGTACTGTTCGTGGCAGCATTATTCATAATAGTCCGAAACTGAAAACAGTCCCAATGCCCATCACCTGGTAAATGGATAAACAAACTTACAGTATATTCATACAACGGGGAAGTATTCATCAGTAAAAAGGAACAAACTACAGACATGAAGTAGCATGGGTAAACCTCAAAAACGTTAAGTGAAAGAAGCCAATCACAAAAGACTTCAGAATGTCTGAGTCCATTTCTATGAACTGTCTAGAAAAGGAAGATTTACAGAGAGAGCAGGTCAGTGGTTGCTTAAGGCCTGGGTAGGAGTGGGGATTAACTAAATGGGCACAAGGTATTTTATAAGGGCGTTGGAAATGTGGGAATTGTGGAAATGGTTACACAATCTAAATTTTTTATAATCATTGAATTCTACACTTACACAAATAGGTGAATTTTATGAAATAAATTGTACCTCAATAAAGTTGTTTTTAAAAGGGGGGATGCTACTTTTTCATAGGGGTTCTTGTGAGGATTTATTAGAACAAGTGCCAGGTATAAACTAGGCGTTCAAAAGATGACAATTAGTTATTGTTATTATTTTTGATATGTAACAGCAGTATCTGGTTAAGATCCCAGAGTCGGCCACATAGAAGCTGAAAATCCTATTGTTAAAAAGAAAGAAAGAACAAAAGAGAGAGAGAGAGAGAGAAAGAGAAAGAGAAAAAACCTAGCTCAGTGATGGCGAACCTATGACACACGTGTCAGAGGTGACATGCGAACTCATTTTTTTGGTTGATTTTTCTTTGTTAAATGGCATTTAAATATATAAAATAAATATCAAAAATATAAATATTTGTTTTACTATGGTTGCAAATATCAAAAAAATTCTATATTTGACACGGCACCAGAGTTAAGTTAGGGTTTTTCAAAATGCTGACACGCCGAGCTCAAAAGGTTTGCCATCACTGACCTAGCTCAAGCCTAATTGTGTATGATCTCATTTACTGACTTCTCATTCAGGGTGGAGTAGAGCAGTGACATTTTTGAATTGTGAAATCATAGCAAAGAGTGACAAACTTTTTATATTTGTAATCTTTCCTTTTCAGGGGGAGTAAAGCTCGGATTAGGAGATTTCATTTTCTACAGTGTTCTGGTAGGAAAAGCTTCCGCCACAGCCAGTGGAGACTGGAACACAACCATAGCCTGTTTTGTAGCCATATTAATTGTAAGTATACACTCATAAAAACATGTCAGAACACCTCATCTCAGCTCTGATTCAGGCAGTCCCATTTAACCCCAGCTAGGCTGAGTGTTCCAATCACCTGGGAGCTTTTCAAAAACAAATAATTAGACCTCGCCTGAGTAGTTCTCCACTGGGCCACACATTAAAATCACCCGAGACCTTTTAAAACTGTGTCCCCATCCTGAGATATTCTTATTTAATTTGTTTCAATTGTGTATCTTATTTTTAAAGTTCCCCAGGAAATTCTGTAAGTACTTCTGATTAGGAACCACTGCTTCAGGCAGCATAGACATGTTGGAAATTAGCTGTGTCTTTAAAGGGGTGAGTAGATCCTCACTTAGTGCCTGAGTTTGGTGGTGGTTTTTGCATTTGATCCACAACCTGGAGGGTACAGAGTTCCTTTGGGCAGCAGGTATGAGGCGAGAAAAGTTAACACAATGCATGGTCTCCTATAGAGCTTGCGCATAGAGCCACAACATGAATCCTGAAGCTTCCAGAACTATGATTTAAGTAAATAACTCAGAAGATATTTCTTACTGCCTTTTTTTTTTTTTACTAAAGATGTTCTCTTTGATGTTTCATATGCGAGTGAAGTTACATGACAGCCTTTATATTGCATTTATTTTGTGATTTATAGTGATAATCTAACCAGTTAGAATTTTCTTGTATTTTCTTTCTCATTTGAGGTTAATTTTCTGGATGTGTTGTATTTTTTAAGAAGAAAAGTATTTATTCTGGATAAACCTGAAATGATGCTTAGCTTCCCGAATTTATAGTTAGTGTCTCAATAACTAGAGTAAAAGTGGACTATATTATAGGGCTGTTCTGTTTCCAAGAGAGCAGCAATATAATTTTCATAAACTTAAAAAAAAAACAAACTCCTCACCCGAGGATATGTTTACCGATTTTAGAGAGACGGGGAGGGAGGGAGAGAGAAAGAGAAACATCAATTGGTTGCCTTCCCCATTGGCCCTGACCAGGGATCAAACCTGCAACCTAGATATGTGCCCTGACCGGGAATCGAACCCACAACCAACCAAACCACCTGGCTGGGGCACTTTTATAAACTTTTATCGGCATACTCTGTGTACCTCTTTGCCTCCGCCCCCACTTCCACCCCCAGCATAAAAAATGCTTTTCAATTCTGGGATTTTAGGCAGCTAAACTTAACTGAGAGTAGCCAACTCAATATTTTAGATAGAATTTTTGGTATTACTTAGATTTTTTCAAGAATAGTTTACTTATTTTCAGGTTCTATTCCTTACCTAGAATTAGGGAATGAAGAATCAAGAATGTGTGCATCATGAATTCTGTGTTGCAGAGGAAAATAAAAGTTGTTTCCGGGTTTAATAGGAACATTTGTTCTAAAATTTAACCTCAGAGGATTGTATTCAATTAACTAAATTAAATGCGAGACTTGTGATTGAGTTGTTTTGCACGAAATACTTTCGTAATGATGTCTGGGTTGTGTCTTGGCCCCTCTCCCCCCAGGGTTTGTGCCTTACATTATTGCTCCTCGCCATTTTCAAGAAAGCATTGCCAGCTCTTCCGATCTCCATCACCTTTGGGCTTGTTTTCTACTTTGCCACAGATTATCTTGTGCAGCCCTTTATGGACCAGTTAGCATTCCATCAATTTTATATTTAGCAGATTTGTGATGAGACTTCCATGGATTTTTCTCCTTTGACTATAATAAAATCTGGGAAGAACAACGGTGATTTTCCTGTGTCTACATCTAACAAAGTCACAATTCCCAGCTGGACTTTTTGTAGCTTCCTTCCACGTCTTCCTGACCACCTGCACTATTGGCCATTGGAAGGAGGTGTCTACAGAAAATGGTTTTGAACATACATCATGTGGTGGACGGAGTCCCTTGGAAAAAACTACCAGATTTTAGGGACAAGGACAAAGAAAAATGATGGGCCAAAAAGTTACTGTGCTCTCACCAGCAGCTTCAGAGGTGGATTCTACCAGCACTGCAGACTCTCAGGGCTGCCATCAGCACGGTGTTAAATGGAGTGGTTAAACCAAACAGGACTCATCGTAAACGTGTGTAAACCTAATCAGTCTGTATTGAACTCTAAACCTTTTCAGGAGGTACTGTGAGGAAAGCAGGTACCAGCAGCAAAATGGGAAGGTGAAAGGGGGTTCAAACTTTCACTCTCAAACTTTTTTTGCTGCAAACTTATCATTTTTTAAATAAGACTTTTTTTTCACCTTGGGTCAAGTCAGATGTGTAAGTTGATTTTGACGATTTTTGTTCTCAAGCACTGAAACTCATTACCATCTATGGTTGCCATTTCCTCCCAAGGCCAGTATGAATTTATTTGAGGTTGCTTTATCTCAAAAGTGTTAACCTCAGGTTCCAAGTTCAGTAATTTCTGGAAATAATGGAACTATAACAACGATTCTCCATCACCCTTAGGTAATTCTGGTTTTGCCCCCAAATTCCTAATTTTTAGACAGACTTGTAGGTTTGCTTGCCCTCGATGCCTTCTTTGTTCCCCGTCTCTCCCTTCACTCCCCCCATACACGGTTCTTTCATAAGACAGCTCTGTTGTGGAAGCAGACGATCCGTTATCTAGGATTTCCTTTGTGTGGTGCACAGAATGTGTTATGAATCAGTGCTGTCAGCCTCGCTGTCATAATTTCTCAGTAGCAAATACAGTGTGTGCCCAAAGACAGTCGCATTAAAGAAGAGGAAATGGGTGGTGAAGCACTTTCTGTCCTGGTTTTCTTTTTTTAGTGCAACCGAGTGTCTCTGACAGTAGGTCAGAGTTCAGACGATAGCCAGGAGCTGGTGGTGTAGAAAGGCAGGAATCAGGTGTGTCTGTGCCAGCAGGAGATGAGGAACCCATTATTGCCCTTGGTGAGCCGGCGGGGAGCCAGGTGCTGACAGAAGACAGAGGGGCCTCCACAGCCAGTGGCACCAGATGAGCTCATGTCCTGTGGGCAGATACGGAGGCCCGAGTGACTCCTCCAGAACCTCCCAGTGGGCGCTTGGTGGTTTCCCGTCTGCCTTGCCTTTCGTCTCCGTGTACCTCTGTGTGAACTGGGCAGTGGGGTCAGGCCCAGGCCGTTCAGCTGGACACGCACATAAACAGAGCCAGCGCCTGTGGGCACACGGCACCTCTAAGCGAGGCTTTGCCAGGGCACAGCCCTTCTGTTGCCGAAGGCCGCCCTGGGCCAGTGATCAGAGCCTGAGCGTCTGTGAGGAACGTAGTTTCCATCTGGCGGGAGAGAGACCCGCGCTTCCTCGTCCCACTGCCGCTTTCTCTCAGCCTGTCTACAACCCGGGCTGGGCTGCTGCTCCTGGAGGGTAGGATGTTTGCTTCCTGCCATGGGATATCTCCCAGAAACTGCCTTGAGGAGCAGCGTGCCTTGAGGAGCAGCGTGCAAGTGAAAACTGGCTCGTATTGGGCGGTTGAGAACTGGGGGAAAACAAGCCGTACCAAGAAAGCCAGGCTGAGAGGAGTAGGTGCTCTCCCGTCTGTTTTTGTTTGTTTAGCCCCTTTTTTCCAAGATTCTCTTTTTCTCCTCAGACATGTGGCAGTGTCGTGGGTACTCCAGAAAGACACACCATTCAACAGCTACCGCAGAGCCTCCTGAACACCAGTCTGATCTGAAGCCGCCTTGAGGGAACCCTAATCTGGAGAAATTTATCTGTGCGAGGGTCCTCCTCTCAGAAGAGGGGGTGTGCGTGTGCGTGTGTTTAGATCCTGTTACTGTCCCGTGTAGAAAGATTGCAAGAAATCTGTCACTTTCTCCAGGATGGAACCACATCTCAGCAGAGAGAGCACATCGTATTCTTTAAATCACCCATCTCAGACACACAACTTTGTTTTCAAATCTTTTTAGAATCAATTCAGTCATTCCTGAAATTTCAGAATGCTAGTCTTCCACCGGGAAATATCGATTGTCACTGAAGAGAACAGTAGCAAGTCCACTGAGCCGGGGGTGGCCACGGGGCCAGGCCACACAAATGAGAAAGCCTGGCCAGCCGAGCCAGCCCACTCAATGAAAGGGAGGAAAACAGTAGGAAGAAGTGGCTGCTGACGTCTGGGTCTGACGGGCCGGCAGGATGGAGGTTTTGTATACAGCATGGCGCTACAGACCAGCCTGTGGAAGTGCCAACCACATTGGGAAGATTTTTAGTTTTTTCAAAGAGGAAGGGCTCACTTTCCTGTTTTTGATTCTTGGTAGGTTAGTGTGTGGTCTTCGGGTCACAGCTCTCCATATGAATGACAATTTCTTGATGAGAAAAAAATAGGAGCTTTCTGAGCAACTTAAAACATTCGTAAGTGAGCAAATTACTGATTTCACTATGGAAGCAACAGTCATCTTGTTCATAATTTGTAGAATGTGAGGCAGAAGTTAAGCTACCTCCAGGGCCAGGCGTCTCGAGGAAGCCTCTGATCCTGTGCCCGGTGCCCAGCCTCGCACATTCCCCATTTGTGATCTAGCCCTGGAAGAAAAAGTTCCGACACTACTATGAAAAGGTTTGTTCAATCTCTTGCATGGTGCTGGAGTCTAAAGACGCAACAATGAGTAAGCTCTGTCTTCAGGTGGTTGAGCGTTGACCTGTGAACCAGGAGGTCACAGTTTAGTTTGATCCCCAGTAGAGGCTGTGCAGGAGGCAGCCAATCAATTCTCTCTCCCTCTCTGAAATCAATAAAAAACTTTTTTTTTTTAAAAAAAGACCTATCCTCAGAATGCAGCTGTGGTCTCTTGTTTTCTGGTATATGCCGTCTTTAACGTCTCTAAAATATCGGGTACTGGTCATTAACGCCGTTCACAGTTACTGTTGTTGAGCGCTTATAATATTGATGTTACAAAGGTGACTTGATTTAGGAAGAGACTTGAAAACTGGACATTTGGTTTTGCTCTGGGAAGAAACAGTATCACCATCATAAGTGTGAGCCCAGACGTGATCTTGTGATTTCTCCAGTTTTTAAAATCCCTAAAAACACAGAAGATGAAAAACGATTTCAGCTTTCACAGCCCTCGTTGGAACTGCCAGGCAGAGCGTACCAACAAGGCTGCAGCGTGCTCGCGTCCCAAGTCATCTGAAGGCGCCCCGTCCCCCCTCCGCTAGGAAACACCACAGATTTGTGTCTTAAAAATCAGCCTGGAGCTGAAATGAACCCCTTTCTTGAACGTCAGAGCTTTCCCAGGGCCTCCGGCAGCTGCAACATCGCCCCGAGGAAGGAGCTGGGTCCCCCAGGGCCCCGGAGTGCGGTGTTAGCACTTCAGTCTGATCTGCGTCGCAGGGAGGATTTGCCAGAAAGCAATTTTCCTTTTAAAATAAATAATGGTTGCAACAGGGCAGCTTCAAACTCAGCTGTCTGGAGGGACAAGTCCAGGCCTGTTCTGTTTCCTGTGTGATTGGCGGGGCTGGGGTGCGGGTTCAGCGGATCATTTACTCCCACGTGTTCACGGTCTGGCTTTTGCTCCTGCAGACACTGCCTTGTACGTGTGGATGCATCTTTCTAAAATTCCTTTCAAGTTCTTGGTAAGAGAGATGGTTATTTTGATAGATGGTTGCAGATTTTCCTGTGTTTGTCAGAGGAATAAAGGCTGCATGGATCCAGTTGTGTGAGTTTTCTTACATGAAAGTAGTATAATGTGTGAGAGGCGCTCAGCGATGATCGGGAAACAGTTTGAAACGCACAGGCATTGTTTCTGTCCTCCCCGCGGAGCACAGTGGAGCGGGTGGTAGCAGGCCGCACCTCTGAGGGTGCAATGTTGAGCCTATGAGAAGTCTCAACATAATTATTCTTAATACTTAGTTTCTGAAAAAATATTTTAAAAAATAATGTTTAACTCAAATTCATGTAAAAACTGTCCAAACAAGAACTTGCAGGACACGTTTGTGGTGGCAGTACAATGCAATTACTTCATGTGCCAGAGGATTATCTTTTAAAAACCATTGAGCAGGTCATATCAGTAGAAAATACCAACATTACTTTTGTTGGCCTGCTAGAACATCGATGTTATCACCATCCCCAAACTCCACCAAACCTCTTGTTTTGAAACAGTGATAGCACCCAGAATGTTGGGGTTTACTGATCAGAACTACGTTTGTGGCGGAAGAAACCAAAGCCGACCTTTGCCTTCGGAAGGAGGGTTTTCAAGATGAATGTGTCCCCGGCGGCAGTGGCTAAGGGCATCAGGAAACAGGAAAGGCGCCCATGTCCTCTGGAGTCAGAGGTGTCATTGCTTTTATGAGTCTTGTAGGCAGTGTCACTAGGGTCCCACAGAGGCATGACGGCTTGTCATCGCTGGGCGAGGTTTCTGATATCTGGGGCCTCCCATGGTGCTCTCGGTGAGAGTGAAGAATGCCCTGGAGCAGGGTTGAGGAGCGAGAGTCGTGGGGCCGGGTTTTCTGCATCACTAGGTAAGTACCACCGTTTTGTGTAGCCCAACTGTTTTCTCTGGGGCAGGGATAGGATCTGGTTAAAGGTGAAATGGCACCGTACTTGAGAATAAGCCACACAATGTTCACTCATTGAATTTTTTAAAAATCATTTTTTAATTGATTTCAGAGAGGAAGGGAGAAGAAGAGAGAGAGAGAAACATCAATGATGAGTGAGAATCATTGGTTGGCTGCCTCCTGCACACCCTCTACTGGGGATTGAGCCCTCAATCTGGGCACTGAGACCCCTGGTTCATAGGTCAACGCTCAAACACTGAACCACAGCGGCCGGTTTGAATGGGAGTGCAGGGTAAAAGATCCACAAAGGACAGGGTAAAGATAGAGTTTCTCCAGAAACAACATTTGAACCAAATTTGGGAAGAAGGGGAGAATCTGAATTGGCAAAAAAAAGGCAAAGAACATACACTAAAATCAGGAAGGAAGAAATCTGTGGGAGGTACCCAAGGATCATTGGTGTTCGAGTTAAGATGGTTTATTCGGAGGAAAACTCAATTAGCAAGCCAAATCCATTTCTGAATGATTGTAGGAACCATGGAGGATGGTGACCTGACCCACCACCGGGGCGCCATGCCCAACAAAGACTGATCCTCTCGCTGGGCTGGCACTTCTAGCCTGGCATGCCGTGCCCTCGGGAGGGGAGAGACGGGAGAGCCTCCGAAACCAGGTTTGTGGGAGGCCTAGTTCTTGGGAGAAGGGGTGACACACTCTTGATCCCTCTGTTCATCTGTTGGTTTCTTTCTAAACTTGTTTTAATTATGTAGTAACTCAGGGTCAATTCCTCGTGCAGAAGAGGGACGGATTCTGTTCCCCTTTGACCCACAGCATTCCTTGAGGTGGACTTGACTGTGATTCGTTTTCTGGGGGAGCAGACCTAGTCAAGAGTGTGCGGGCCAGGGGTGAACCCCAGTGGGGGCAATGAAAGGATTAAAAGACAGGAGAATGAAAGCTGGGTCTCGGTGGGATGCTGCCCCTCTGAGGGACAGCGCCAGCGCCCACAAGCTGTGTCTTTATTTTATAGCAGATGCCATGAGGCAAAGTAAGGGCGTGATCAAGATGTTTACAACATTCTCCTGGGTTTCAACCCTACTCAACTACATGCACCTGAACTCTATCACTCAGGCACGTGGGGCCACGTGTTCGGACCTTAGGTTCAAGCTTACACTACAGCTGTTGGCTGTAATTGTGCTGGGAGGGCCCTGCCCTCCAAGCTGGGACTTGCACATGGCCACGAGAGGACTGTGCCCTCTCATTAGTCCGAGGCTTGAACCTGTCCAAACACCGTA